AACAAGAGATGCCAGTTGAGACTCCATATTCCTCATTATTAGAACTTACTTACTGGGTTATATCCCCTTATATTTATCTTTCTGGGTCTGGGTTACCTCTCCGGATGATTTTTTCTAGTTTCATTTATTCGTTTACAAATTTCACGTCTTTTTTTTTTTTTTTTTAAACAGCTGAGTAATACTCCATTGTATAAATGTTCCACAATTTCTTTATCTGTTCTTCTGTTGAGGGACATCTGGGTTGTTTCCAGGTTCTGGCTATTATGAATAAAGCCTCAATGAACATAGTTGAGCAAGTGTCCTTGTGGTCGGATGGAGCATCCTTTGGGCATATGCCCAAGAGTGGTAGAGCTGGGTCTTGAGCGATGATTCCCAGTTTTCTGAGGAACCGCCATACTGATTTTCCAAAGTGGCCGTGTGAGTCTGTACTTCCCCCAGCAGTGGGGGAGGGCTCCCCTTGCTCCACATCCTCTCCAGCATGAACTTGTGCTGTTGATCTTAGCCACTTGTCAGGTGTCAGATGGAATCTCAAAGTAGTTTTGATTTGCATTTCCTTGGTGGCTAAGAAGGTTGAACATTTCTTTCAGCATTTCTCAGCCATTTGCAGTTCCTCTAGTGAGAATTCTGTTTATATGTATACCCCATTTTTAAAGTTGATTACTTGTTTGTTTGTTTTTTATATCAGATTTCTTGAGTTCTTTATATGTTTTGGATATTAGCCCTCTGTCAAATGTGGAATTGGTAAAAATCTTTTCCCATTCTGGAGACTTCCTCTTTGTCTGATTGACAGTGTCCTTCGCCTTACATAATCTTTTCAGTTTTATGAGGTCCCATTTATTAATCATTGATCTTAGTGCCTATTGTTCAGAAAGTTGTCTCCTGTGCCAATGTGCTCAAGGCTATTCCCACATTTCTCTTCTGTCAGGTTCAGTGTGTCTGGTTTTATGTTAAGGTCTTTGATTCACTTAGGTTTGTTTAGTGTGGGGGTAATAGATGGGGTCTATTTGCATTCTTCTATATGTGCTTTAGCAGGGTTACCTGCTGGGATTGGGAGATGGGTAAAGCCACATGTGTGGGGAGGGGACATTAGGAGGAGATGGCCTATGGGACCCACAGTCCTCTCTACAGCTGTAGCTCTCACTGTACATCCAGTTCTAGCAAAAGCCATATTTTTGAAACATTTCTGGAATTTCTTGAAGTAGTTTTAGAGTTTGCTATAGATCATCAGAATATAATTGACTGCCATCTGTGGACTGAACCAATTGCCGATAAATAGTATTCAGAAAAAAAATTAATATACTGAACATGTATAGATTTTTTTTTTTGTCTCTGGACAGTATATTGCAACTGTTTGTATAGGTAGCACTTACCTTATCTTAAATATTCTGAGTGTTGATTTGGGTATGTGTAGTAGAGGAGGATGTCCTAGAGCCACCCTTGTAGGATACTGAGGGACTGTCCATCTTAGTGCAAGGACTCTTTCTTTGTGAATGTATTTGTCTTTTATAAACATTCTGGTTGAAAGAGTAAGATCACAGTAGTTTATGTAATTCAGATATTAGAGTTAGCCATGATTACCCTGCAGTTTTCTTTGTAAGAGCTAAGCCAGTGCATATTCTTGCTTTCCTACAGATACCTTTGACAGCATATTCTGTTTTGCACATTAGATTACATCTCAACAGACATATGATCTTTAAAATACTTCTCACTGGTTAACTATCAAAATGTTATGTGGAGCAACAATTAGGAAATTAGGAGGGAAATAATCAGAGGTCTTAACTTACGTTCTCATACTCATCGGGATTGTTCTCTTTAGATAGATAGTGCCTGGGAGTCATGTCTGACACAAAGCAAGGGTGAGTTCTCTGCCTACAACCCCAGAGGAGCCATTGCCTTCTGGTGGTCACCCTGTGCTATGGGAGGACCCTGGGAGGAAGCAGAGGAGGGAATGAGCAGAGGTGGAGAGACCAGCCTGTAGCATTTGTAGAGGCAAGAGCGCTTAGGTAGAGTCACAGGGGTCATGGGTAAACACTGGGAGCAAACAGAATTGGCCTACTACAAAATATCTTAAAAGCAAACATTTGAGAGGATCCAGGAAGACTAGAAGCAGTATTCCCAGGGTTGCATGGAAACTAGCTAGTAATTGGTGCAGCCAGGGGCCCTTAGTACCATGCTACCATCGCTGCAAAGAACCTGGTAATATCTGTGCCATGGGGTGCCCTAAATTCAGTGTTTAAGTATTCCAGTGCATATAATAGGTGTGAAATGCCAAGTAAACCGCAAAGGCTGTCACCAGCTTCTGCTGTCTTTAAAAATGAAATTTGTACCCTCAGATTTACCTCGTGGTGTCTGTGTTTGAGGGAAGAGCAGCACATATTCACAAGTGTTGGGTGGCAGAAGGTTGCACAGCTCCCTGCCACCTGGTACCTGTGCACTATTACCTAGCAGGTGGGACCTGAACCTGGCTGCCAGGGCCCCTTGTGGACCAGGCCTGGTAACAGAGCAGTGCCCCACTATCAGTGTGCGCCTGAGTGCTGGAGCCATCGTGATACTCATGGAGCACTGTGGAGCACTGTGCTAGCTTTCATCGTGATACTCATGGAGCACTGTGGAGCACTGTGCTAGCTTTCATTGTGATACTCATGGAGCAGTGTGGAGCACTGTGCTAGCTTTCATTGTGATACTCATGGAGCAGTGTGGAGCACTGTGCTAGCTTTCATTGTGATACTCATGGAGCAGTGTGGAGCACTGTGCTAGCTTTCATTGTGATACTCATGGAGCAGTGTGGAGCACTGTGCTAGCTTTCATTGTGATACTCATGGAGCAGTGTGGAGCACTGTGCTAGCTTTCATTGTGATACTCATGGAGCAGTGTGGAGCACTGTGCTAGCTTTCATTGTGATACTCATGGAGCACTGTTATAGCTTTCAGGCCATCAACCATTGGGGGGGTATTTTGTAGCTTGACTGATTTTATTTCTCCTCATTCGTCCTTAATTACCAGTATTTGTCTTGAAATTACTCTCGAAATTCCAAATTCTAGGCCTCCAGTGTTGTAGAGATGGTCAAGGAATATATGTAAAGTAACACCTCTTTTTCCTTTAAAATTCTCCTGTATTTTCTTAGCAGTACCAACTGTGTGAGTACAGAGTATTAAAAACTGGCTCTGCAGGGAATCGGGGCCATGTAGTGTGCTCAGGGAATCAGGGGTCATTAGTGTGCTCAGGGGAGCCAGTGTGCTCAGGGAATCGGGGCCATGTAGTGTGCTCAGGAAATCAGGGGTCATGTAGTGTGCTCAGGGGAGCCAGTGTGCTCAGGGAATCGGGGCCATGTAGTGTGCTCAGGGAATCAGGGGTCATTAGTGTGCTCAGGGGAGCCAGTGTGCTCAGGGAATCGGGGCCATGTAGTGTGCTCAGGAAATCGGGGGGGTCATTAGTGTGCTCAGGGGGGTCATGTAGTGTGCTCAGGGAATCAGGGGGTCATGTAGTGTGCTCAGGGAATCAGGTGGTCATGTAGTGTGCTCAGGGAATCAGGGGGTCATTAGTGTGCTCAGGGGGTCATGTAGTGTGCTCAGGAAATCGGGGGGGGTCATTAGTGTGCTCAGGGGGGTCATTAGTGTGCTCAGGGAATCGGGGTCATGTAGTGTGCTCAGGGAGTTGGGGTCATTAGTGTGCTCAGGGGGTCATGTAGTGTGCTCAGGGAATCGGGGTCATGTAGTGTGCTCAGGGAATTGGGGTCATGTAGTGTGCTCAGGGAATTGGGGTCATGTAGTGTGCTCAGGGAATCAGGGGGTCATGTAGTGTGCTCAGGGAATCGGGGGGGGGGTCATTAGTGTGCTCAGGGGGTCATGTAGTGTGCTCAGGGAATTGGGGTCATGTAGTATGCTCTCATTACACATTTTGGAGAGCTTTGTGTTAAACACATGGTTGTATTTTTTTCCCTTTTAGACAGATTATTTTTTTAATTATTATTTTATGCATATCGGTGTTTTGCCTGCATGTGTGTCTGTGTGAGGGTATCAGATTACCTGGAACTGGAGTTACAGACAGTCGTGGGCTGTCATGTGGGTGCTGAGAATTGAACCCGGATCCTCTGGAAGAGCACTCGATGCTTTTAACCACTGAGCCATCTCTCCCCACATGATTGCATGCTGATAGAACGTTTTACTTTTGGAAGCCAAACTTTTGCCTCTTATTTCCATTTGTGATATAATGGAGTATCTGATAGTGATATAAAAAACAAAAACAGGGGACTTGGATAAAATAGTAGCAGAAGCAGCTAAACATCAAATTTAGCTTTGGCAAATGACCTGTGAGTAATGTCCTGTGGGTAAGAGAAGCCCCAGACATGTATATTAGTCTCCTGTGTTGCCTGATAGCTTGCAGTTTAACACACCATCAGTATTTACCTTTCTGTTGCATGGGCTAAAGTGCAAAGGTGGACAAGGCCCACTGTCCTCTGGAGGCTCTAGGGGAGGCGCTACTTCCTGACTTTTCCAGTTTCTCAAGGCTGTCAGCGATCCTGGCTCACATCCCCTCCATCTTTAAAGCCAGCAAGTGGCCACCTCCCAGAGTCACATGTGCTCTGACCACAGCTGGAAAGGCTGCTCTGCCTAAAAGATGATGCAAGATGTGCTCCCTGTCCTGAAGCCCTGAATTAATCTGCACTTCCTGTTGCAATTGGAGTCACAGGTTTCAGGTTCTGGAGCTTGGGTTGTAGGTGTCTCAGGGGTCGAGGGCACTGTACCCACCAGCATGCGGAGATAGCTAACACGAGCCTGTGCTTGGGGAATGTGCCTCCCTACTATGCTCCATGGGCTCCTGATTTGGTGTCAGGCCTTCTAAGAAATCTTGACTTAAGGTACTCCCCCTCTCCCCACTCCCGCCCCCCCCCACCTTTTTTTTTTTTTTTTTTTTTTTTTTTTTTTAAGAACTCAGCAATTCTGTTTGGGTCTTAATCTCTAGGAATGCTAATGCTGGGTCTCTCTTGTTTGCTTTGATAGTGATAACCTGCTAAGAAGAGCAGCCTGTCAAGAAGCTCAGGTAATGCCATTTTCTGTGATGAAATTAACTCACCCCTTATCTCCACGGTGCAGGAGACGCAGCCACTCCAGGGACTTGCATGGGGTCTTGCATCAGTGCAGTTTGAGTCTTTCCCTCCACCTCCAGATGGGTTAGGCTGTCAGCCAATCCTGAGTAGAACGGGTGGAAGTTAGCCATCTGGTGAAGAGCGGTTCTGACGCCTGACGCCCACCCCTTTAGACTTGTTTACTTCTGGATCACTCCCAAGAACACTTAACTGGACTGGCTGAAGAGCTGGGAGTGATACATGTTTGCAGTTATCCTTGGGGAGGTGGCTAAACCCTCATTCCTGACTGAACTGCCCCCCCTAGGATAATGGCTCAGAGCAGATGTTACCCTCAAAGTTGAATCTTGTTAAAATTGTTGGCTCCTGCCTTTAAAGCCTGACTCCCTAACTAGCTCGGCTGATTCATGGCTTCACACTGCTGTCCAGTTCCCTGGGACTCTGCTCAAGCACCCGTTTATCAGATTGTGGTGGTGGTAAATCCTTTCAGACTCAAGACCCCGGCTTTGCTCTCTTCCGTGTTTGTAATTTATACCCTGCAGATGGAGCTCTGTGACTCAGTGCTTTTTTATTCTATGCCATTTAAGCTCGTAATGTCAGAAATGTCTAAAGAGATGTATGAAAGTTAAAATGACAAAGAGAACGCATTTGGTAGAAGTGGGTGGCAAATCTTGTTTGTTCCGGAAGTGTTTTCATAGATGATAATGACAGTAGATACTATTAATAAACTCTCCCTGGCTCTAAATATGCTATGAGAATTTGATTTTATTTCTGCACAGATGTACCATCTAGTATAGCTTCAAGTTATTTAAAAATTAATGTAAATAAACTTTAAATCTTCTTTTAAAGATCAGTGTGGTGGTTCAAAACTATATATAATTACAGTTTCTGGGAAGCTGAGGCAGGAGGATTGCCATGAGCTTACCTCCTGGGTTACATAATGAATTGTAGACCAGCCTGAAATTTGGGAGACCCTCTGCCCAAAAAACAAGCTTTTGAATTATTTTTTTAATCGACACAAATTTTTTATATCTTCTTCTGAGTCTCAGAATGATATTCCAGTACGTGTATGCAGTACTTTTAAGGATCAAATTAAGGTTACTACCAAATAACCCTTATATTGAGTTCCAGGTCGTCCTGTCGACAGTCCCTCCTCTTACCAAAGGTGCATCCTCTGCCTTTGTTCTGAATTCCCTCTCCTCCTGCTTCCCCAGGAATAAGGCCTTGTTAGATACTCCCCCACACCCTGACCTTGATGCCCTCCAGTGCCCTGCACATGGTCTAGCTCCTCCCATGTGACTGAGGTGGGTTGGTCCAGTAAAAAGTAAAGCTTTCTTTAGTTTTCCTCTGCTCTTTTACAGTCTAAATTAGTGAATGATTAAAATGAAAACGATGTAAATTCTAGTTTCACAAATGTCCTTTTTTTTTTTTTTTTGAGACAGGGTTTCTCTGTGGCTTCTGTAGGCTTTTCCTGGAACTCACTCTGTAGACCAGCCTAGTCTCGAACTCACAGAGATTCTCCTGCTTCTGCCTCCCGAGTGCTGGGATTAAGGGCGTGCACCACCACTGCTGGGCTTCACTAATGTTTTGATCCATTATGGAACCTAGACTTGAGTTACAGGTATGGTTAGGAATTGTAGGGACTAAGAAACGAGGACAGGGAGGTACAGTTTAGTGCTATAGATCTGGAGTCTGGTTTGCCAGAGAGCTGGTGTCTTAGTTAGGGTTTCTATTGCTCGAAAAGGCATCAGGACCCAGCAACTCTTAAAAGGGAAGCATTTAATTGGGGTCGGCTTACAGTTCAGAGGGTTAGTCCATTGTCGTCATGGTGGGAAGCAGGGCAGCACTTGGGCAGGCGTGGTGCTGGAGAGTTCTACATCCAGATTGGCAGACAGCAGGAAGAGAGTGCCACACTGGGCCTGGCTTGAGCATCTGAAACTGCAAAGCCCACCCCACAGATGACACGCCTCCTCCAACAGTGCCACTCCCTATGTGTCCATGGGGCCATTTGCAGTCAGACTGCCACAGCTGGACTAGCTGTGTCTTTCCTGGTGGAACTCTAGAATGAGGTGGAGCAGAACAAAGTACAATATTTGGAGATTTCGCAGCAAAATGTCAAAATCTGAGTATGAGTAAAAAGAGAACAGAACTGATAATCAGTCAGGCATTTTTGTTTTGTCTTGTTTTTCATAAAGAAATAGCTTTCCCACATATTTTTGCGACAGTGTCTCTTTCTGAACATGGGCTTGCATGTTAGCTAGACCTGCGGCACCCAGGCTCTGTCCACTTCACCTCCCAGCACCGTTCTGCACAGACACAGGCACGCTCGGCTTTTCACCTGGGTGCAGGGGTCTGAACTCAATTCCTGATGCTTGCACAGCACGCGCTTTACTCTTCATTTACCTACTGAGTCATCTTCCCAGCACAGAAAGAAAGGACTTGTAATGGACAGTCAGGGAGGTGTCACATTTAGGATGAGTCACTCAATACAGTATCTTTGTGTGAATTTTTTCCCCTCTAATCTTTATACTTCTCTTCTAGAATTCTGCTGCCATAGCCCAGACTTTCCTCCTCTTCCTCCTCTTTCTTCTTTCCTGAGACAGAGTTTCTCTGTGTAACAGCCCTGGCTGTCCTGGAACTCTGATTTGTAGACCAGACTAGCCTTGACCTCATGGAGATCCCCCTGCCTCTGCCTTCCGAGCGCTGCATTAAAGGTGTGCGCCGCCGCCGCCACCTGGCTCAGACTTGCTTCTTAACACCCAAGGCCTGAAGTTTTGCTCTTTTTAGTGTTCTCTGTCATCATTCTTTTCTACATCACAGCAGTAGCTCCAATTCTGACATTTTGAATCCTCACATTTAATTCTCTGCTTCTTAGTTCCATTCAGCCTTAGAGCCAATGGAGTAGAAAGGTTTGCATAATGGGTTTCTTTTGTGTATATGGATATGGAAACTAACTGATAACATAAATTCCTTGGGAATAAGTTTTAGTGATACATTGAAGGAGGAAGGATTGTTAACATGGGTTCTAGAAGATACTGCCACTGATAGTGAAGCAAGGTTTTTACCCTGATGTAAAATCAGGCTGATTGTCGTTGAATAGCGGTGTACCTTTATGTTGCTAGTGGGTTCTGTTATGGAGATCATGAGTGAGCTTTTGTTCTCTGGCTAGAAGTAAATTCTCTGGGAATTAAAAAAAAAAAGTATTTGATCACTAGCTGAATAAAGAGCATTTGATCACTAGCTGAATAAAGGGCATTTGATCACTAGCTGAATAAAGAGCATTTGATCACTAGCTGAATAAAGGGCATTTGTTTGAAAACTTCTCTTTTTCCTTTTCAGGTGTTTGGCAACCAGCTCATCCCTCCCAATGCACAAGTGAAGAAAGCCACCGTCCTTCTCAACCCTGCAGCTTGCAAAGGGTATCTCAGCCTGGGCCTTACTGTGTTCAGTTTCTGAAAGGCAAAAGACAAAACCAGCACAGGACAGGTGGTTAGACTGTGTAGGACTGGGATGACCGGGACCATCACTCTGCAGTGGGAGAGCAGTTAGCTGTGAAGCATGACTGGTGTTCCGCAAACAGCAAGCATTCCTGTCAGCTTGGCAGTGGTCCTCGCGGGACTGAGTGTTCTCCTGCTCCGCGTAACTGTGCTAGGCGGTCATCACAGACAGACCCTGCAGAGATGACCAGAGCACTGTGCGTTCAGGACAGTGTTCTTTCCAAGGGAGGACGTGGCCTGTAGAGCAGTATCCTAGTGTCAGAAGGCCCGCGTTCTTCAGTAACGGCCGCATAAAGGGATTCTGGGGGAAATATGACAGATAGCTGGACCTTTTTTAAGATTTGTATTTTTGGTGAGTTTATTGTACCCACTGAAAAGGAGGGTTACTATAGAGAGCGTGTGGAGGGACTCAAGTTATCCTAAGTGGGAGAAAGAAGCCATACGCAGGAAAAAGAAAGCTTATAGTGCTAGTTAGGAGGTTGGTCATTTAAAAAAAAAGAAGAAGAATTTAAAATGTACTTTTTAAAAAACAGGATGACAGAACTGAAGAAGAAAAAAAAAATACCTATTATCATTCCAGGGTCTAGGTGTCTAGATCAATTGTGTTTTCTAGGTTTTAGTAGTTTGTGAATATATGTGTGTGTGTGTGTCTGTGTGTGTGTGTGTGTATGTATGTATGTATATATGTATTAGGTTGGATGCTATAAAATTGAAGTCACATGACATCGATAATGACTAGTTGGGGCCAGATTTTATGTGTATAGGCCCTTTGTCTGGATCAAAAAGAAGCAAGAGCCCAAAACTCAGTTTTGGGGGTATGTAGTATCTTTTGGGGAAGCTTGAGCTAGACTTCACAGTAAGGGGTATATTGACCCCTTCTGTAAATTGTGCCTGATTATGCAGACTAACCTCGCTTATAGACTATTGCTAGGTTTGGTTAAAGCTACTCCCCTTCTCCATAAACACCCATTTTCCTATCAATAATAAACCATATTAAGAAGTCCTTACACAGTACAGCTGAAATACTCAGTCTCTTTCTCCTCTCTCTCTCTCTTTCTCTCTCTCTCTGTGTGTGTGTGTGTGTGTGTGTGTGTGTGTGTGTGTGTGTGTATGTGTGTTACTCTGCTTCCAGAATATTCTGAATTACTCAGCCTCCTAAATCCTTAGTTTACTCAGCTATAAAAGTAAACGACAAAATAGACAGAAACACAGCCCTGGAGCATTACCATGTGGGATGCAGCTGTCTTCTGTACTGCATGAAATGGGACAGTGCTCATGAGTATCGGTTGTTTATACAAAGTCCTGGAGGTTTGCCGCTGCTGTCGGTGTCCTGCTGGGCTCAGAATATTCTCCACTTTGCATCCTCACGTTTCCCGAGAATCTGGCAAGTCCCCTTTCACCTTCCTTTAAAGATTGCTATTTCTTGTGCTTGTCCTTTAAAAATCTTCAATTTCTGGTGACAGGGTTTTAGCAATTTCTTTACGATAGAAATGGTGTTGTTAAGTTGTTGTTGTTTTTGCTGCTGTTTTGTTTTCCCCCAGGCCACTTTTTTTTTTTTTTTTTTTTTTTCTTGTTTTTCGAGACAGGATTTCTCTGTGGCTTTGGAGCCTGTCCTGGAACTAGCTCTGTAGACCAGGCTGGCCTCGAACTCAAGAGAGATCCGCCTGCCTCTACCTTCCGAGTCTGGGATTAAAGGCATGAGCCACCAACGGCCAGGCTAAACTTAATATTTTATAGAACATTTAGGTCCATCTTACATATAACTGCATGTACTACAAGTTTGTTTTTTAAACCTTTTCTCACACATACGTGGGGTGTGTGTATGCACATGTGTGGGCACGTGTGTACACATGCTTATGGAAGCCCGGGGTTGTGGCAGGGATCATTTTCAGTTGCTCTTCCAGCGTCTTCATTGAGTCAAGGCCTCTCAATCAAACCCAGAGCCTGTCCATGTCTGCTGCCCCCAACTAGCTTGCCGTGGGGATCCGCTGCCCTCTGTCCCTGGCTGGCCACCACACCCACCAGGCACTTATGGGGTTCCAGGGGTCAGAACTCTAAGTCTTTACACTTGAGCTTCTTCAGCCAGCCCTAGACACTGAACCCTCACTCCAGCTCCTACTTACACATTTAAAGTTAAAGCAGATTCTTGTTTGTAAGTGCAATACGTGTGAAGGTGGATTAAGATGCTGCCAGACAGCCTTTCCTGAGTGCACTGCTTCCTATATCAAGGCGATCCCTACACACATGGAGGACACGGATGCTCTCCAGCACCTTTAGTTTTAAAGCTTTTACTATTTAATGCCACTTTTTTGTCTTCCTGGCCATGTGCAAACACAATGTATAATTTATTGCACAGCTATCTCATTATGTAGGACTGGTTTAAAACTTCAGTAGACTCTTAAGAAATAGGATAACTATGCGTTTAGTGTTAATAAATAATACATTAAAGAGTAATTATCTTCTGTGGTGCCTGAGTCTAGAAATTGCTGTAAGTACATAAAGTTTTTATTCAGGCCTGGTGCTATTGCACCCTTAATTATGTAATAAATAATGTATTTCTTACTGGCAACACTTATTTCTCAATCTGAAGAAAAGTCTTTGCTTTTATTTTAGAGATTTTCTGAACCTGTGGCATCATATAAAGATATGAATAAACAACAAATGTTCAAATCGTTTTTCTGAAACTCACCGGAGGCTACAGATTTGTTGTGATTGATGTAACAGAGTGAGACCTTGTCAACGTTTTGCATTTAGGAGATAGATCTGATCCGCTCCCAAGTGTTCTGCTCTTAGCGTTGCAGCAGTAAAGGCATCCCTTACAATGTCCCTAGCTTCACATTTTATTATGGTGCAGGACTGGTGAGGGGGAAGGGGGAGTCCGTTCCCAAGTAGCTTTTCATGTTCATTCTGATAATTACTCAAGCATCAGAGAAGGTGGCAAACACTGAACTTGTGTTCCCAGTTAGAGCCTTGATGGTTCTTGTGGGATCTTGAGGGGTCTTTTCAGTTTCCATCGCATTTCCTGATAAGTTAAGTAATATTCCTTTCATGTGCTATTCTGTGGGTCTAGCTTTCAGTAAAGATGGTGAATTTGTTCTGTGTTCAGCTCTTAAGTATTCCTCGATAGCTGCCTTTGTATTTCTTGTATATTTAAAAAAGGTAAAGCGCATACTTCATTGGTTTTTAAAGAAACTATTTTAGGAAAAGAACTAAGAATGTGTTAGGTGTTTTAATACTGTTTGTGTGCGTGCGTGATAGTTGAAAATACCAGGGTAAAAGAAAGGCCTGCTAGTTTACATATTTTGATATTTATTTGATATCAACTCTGCCATTTGTGCTGAGAGACTGTTTTTTTAGTTGTGACCTGAATTGGACTAGAGTGCACTAATGCAATGATGTTCATGAGACAGGCACAAACCCATCCAAAGGCTGCTTAATGATTTCCCTAATTGTAAGATATCAAATCATGATCGCCTTTCCTCAGAATTTACCTCATTCATTTTTATACTAATCTGTCAGATACTTACTAATAAGTACCTTTGAAATTCCCCATCCTAGAAGTTGGAGGGTTCAACAATTACTAAGAACTGGTATCTATTTTTGTAAGCTTCTTCTCTAGTCCTAAACAGGTTTGCAACAGTGAAAACACTGTTGATGGACAGATGTACAAAGTGCTGGAGGGACAGAGATGGGCTTCTGCACCTGGGAGGTGTAGACCAGCTCCTCGTTAACCATTCTTGCTAGTCATCTGCCCTAACAGACACCTTTGACTTCCTTTCCTGCTGTAAATTCAGCTGTCCTGAAAACACTTGCTCTTTCTCTACAACTTTAAAGATTTGGGATGACCCCTAGTGTTTAAACTTTTATAACAATGTCTCTCTTCCCAGAAGATCATAAGTGAATCTGTTTTGTTCCCCTGGGGCATATGAATAATGTTACAGTAAATACCTCTACTCCCTTTGTTAGAATATGAATAAATTGCAATAGAATGCGCGTGCTCTGTGAATGAGTCCTGCAGACAAGCCCTGTTTCTGTCCTATCTGTACCTCTGCTGGCCCTGGCATTGGGAATTCTGAGTGGGTCAAGCTTTGTTGTTTTGACTGTTGTGTAGAGGATGTAGCATCCCAAATGTATACAAGCTGATTGTATGAAACAAGGACAAATTCTTTTTTCTATCTAGGGTAACTCACTATATTTGAACAAGTAAAGTCTGTGTTCTCTAGGGTACCTGGTTATATTTTTTATTCCCAGCTTGAGAATGTCTTAAAATAATTGTGTGTGTTTTCCCCCTTTTTGTCTACAGTAAAGCCAGAACTCTATTTGAAAAAAATGCTGCCCCAATTTTACACCTGTCTGGCATGGATGTGACTGTTGTCAAGGTGAGAATGACTCCTGAGTCTTTATGTGAACAAGGCCACCTTTTTACCTTGTTTGTTTGTTTTTGAGACAGGGTTTCTCTGTGGCTTTGGAGGCTGGCCTGGAACTGGCTCTGTAGACCAGGCTGGACTCGAACTCACAGAGATCCATCCCCCAGCCTCTGTCTCCCGAGTGCTGGGACTAAAGGCGTGCGCCACCACCACCCGGTGAGACCGCCACTTCTAATATATCCTTTGCTCTTACCTTCAAAACAGAGCTCAGTTTCCATTAAGACAAGAAGAAGATCAGTGTTGTGTCTTGTTCTATTAATTACTCAAAGAGGTTTTGTTTTCTCTTCCACATTGTCTGCTTTTCATTTCAGCATGCGCTCTCATGGGTGCGAGGATCACGGGCTCACATGGGTACGTGGAGCACACATGGGCCCACATGGGTGTATGGAACATGGGCTCGCACGGGTGCATGGAGACCCTGAGACTTTCCATTATCTCTTAGTTGTCGGAGTGCATCCCCCACAATACAAAGCCCTCTAGTTTGAGTGGTTTAATTTCTTGGTAATTCGGCTAGCATGTGAACATTTTCTTCCTCGTAAAGAATTGTGACTAGGAATTTTAAAAAGGAAATCATTAGAGTTTCTGAGATTTTAGGTAAGAAGAAAAAAGACAAAGTTAGAAGAATTGTTCATTTTAGACAGTGTCTCAGGTTTCTGTCTTGTTGAACTTCATGTGTGCGTGTATGAAGTATGAATAGTCAAAACTAGTCTTCTGCTTTATTTATTTTTAATTAATTAAAGGAAACTGTGTGTATGTACAAGCCCTGCATACATGCCTAGTACCCACAGAAGCCAGGAGAGAGTATCATGTTCCCTGCAACTGGAGCTACAGACTATTGTGAGCCACCATGTGGGTGCTGGGACTGAAAACCAGACTCGCTCGCTGGAGGAGCAGTAAGTCACTTAACCGCAGAGCCCTGCCTTCAGCTCCTGCCTCTCCAGTGTTTTAGTCCTGTGTTTATTCCTTTTGAAATTATAATATAATTATAATTGCACCGTCTCCCCTTCTATCCCCTCCGTCTCCACCCTCCCTTATACCCTCCGTTGCTAAAATACTGTTTTTAATGATATCTTACTGATTCTTTGAGAATTGCATTCAAATTATGTATTTTGATAATTGTCATTCCCCACTCCTCCCCCAACTCATCTTAGATCTGCCCCCCAACTGTACCCCCAACTCCTCAGCCCCTCCTAACTTTGTGACTGGAGTAGTGGACCTACCAGGGACTACTAACCCCTAATGAAAACTTATCTTCCCTTCCTGAGAAGCCACCGGTTGTCACTAACTCCTTAATTAGTAGTGGCAGCTCCTAAACCCCTCCCTTCTCCATCCTAGAATGACTGATGTTCATCTGTTTCTAAATTACACTTTGAGTATCTCATAGAGATTAGAGAAGGTCATGTAGTACAATTTGCCATGCAGTTTTGAATTCTCTTTTCTAACTTGTCAGGCTTGATCTTGCAATTGCTTGCCTTTGGGGCTAGGATAAAGGAGAATCATTTTCGTGAGCATCTATAACGTGCCGCAGTCCAAGTCTGAGAGCCCTGAGGGTGATCGTGTAAGATCAAATAATAGTTCCTTATTATTTGATGAAACCCTTGGATAACACTCTGGGCCTGGAGCTTTGCTAAAGGGAGACCCTGCATTATTAGGCTTTTAAAATAGTACTACAATACATAAATTCTGTTTCTCTTTGGCAATGTAAATTCTTCAAGGAATTTGTTCCTCTTATTTGGTTTTCAAATTAATTGGCATCAAGTTGTTGATAATGTCGTCTTGTTATCTTTTAACTGTGTAGCTTTTGTAACGTCACATTTTACCCTACACCTTAGCTGTGCCTCCTTATTGTACTGTTGTGTGCCCCGCCCCGCCCGCCCCGCCCCGCCCCGCCCCGCCCCGCCCCGCCCCGCAGTCTTCTCACTGCCCAGGCTGTCTGGTCTTTCTTTGAAAACGATTTCCTTCGCCTCACTTTTTGCTGTTCTCTGCTCTGACTTCCCATTGGTTTACTTTCCCTCCGACCGTATTATTTAACCCTGTTAGAGCTGTTGCTTCGCCTGCGCCCATCACTTCTGACCGCTTCTCTCCTTACCACTGCTGACGGCTTTCTCATTTCTATCATGATTTTTGCTAGACCTGTGGGTTATTTAATTTCTAGATCTAAAGTTTTTCTGGGTATCATTTTGTTAATGATTTCTGAATTAACTACATCATCAAGAAAAATTCTGTGTGATGATTTTGGGTTTTAATAGTCTGTTTTTATTTAAAAAAAAAAAAAAAAAGTGTTGTGTATGTGCCAAAAAGTGACTCGTTATCAACTAGTGGAAACTGTTTGTTTATGTCCTACAAACCAATCTTCTCTTTCCCTCCCTGATTGATAATGGCTACTCTAAACTATCCCGCCATCGGAGTTGCAGATCTGCTAGCATGACTGCATTTTCCCATTCCTATAGATAATTTTATCTGTTTTTTCAAGTTTTATATCTTGAGATGATGTTGGTCCATAAATGCTTGTTGTGAGTGCTGCTACATTTTGGATGTGAACGTCAGCCTCTAGTGACTGAGCCCTCTCTCCTGCCCAACTGCCTTGCTTACACGTCAGGTTGATGTGACGGCTGGTGGCCCATCCAAGCATCCTCACATGGTAGCTGAGTTCTCTGACATAAATAAAACAGTATCAAATTTCACTTCTAGATACTTGGATATATATTTTAATAAGGAAGGGCATTTTCCTGTGTAACTATAATGATATCTTCAGCAAATTTAACCAGTCCTTAATACCAAAGGCCTATGGCCTCTTGCATTTTGTAATTTTTATAATTTAAGATATTCTGAAATTATATATAAAAATTAGTATATTATTTATGTTACATACTCAAAAAATAGGTATTAGATTTAAATCTTAGTAGAAATATTAATATTCTCTTCTTGTAGTTTAATTGAAACTATTAATCTTTGAAAGTTTAATTTCTTATCTTTTAAATTTTACTTAGAAACAGTTTCAAATTTGCAAAAAAAGTTACAAAAACAATACATATGTAGTTACCTACTTCACCCAGACTGTTAAGATTTTACTGGGTTGGCACACAATTTCTCTACATAAATATGCATATAGGTATATAAATATATATATATGTAAATATATATATATATATATATATATATATAACTTATGGATGATGTATTAGTTAGGGTTTACTTTTGCTGTGAAGAGACACCATGACCATGGCAACTCTCCTAAAGCAAACAGTTGAGGGTGGCTGGCTCCCAGTTTCGGAGGTTCAGTCCATTATCATCGGGAAGGGAATCATGGCAGCTCGCAGGCAGATGCGGTGCTGCAGCTGAGTCCTACATCTTGACTCAGAGGCAGTAACAAGTCAACTGACTGTCACACCGAGTGAGACTTGGGAAGAAGCCCTCAAAGCCACAGTGACAACACCTCCTCCCACATCTCCTAATAGTGCCACCACAGATGAAGTCATTGACTCCTGATGGATGAACTCGTTTTTAGGCTCCTCTCCCCCCCCCCCCCCGGAAGTCAGGGTATGGAACAAACAAGGTTCTAACCCTTAAGTCCTCTGTTGGCATCTCTGCTGCCCAGTTCCCATCCCCAAACCATCCGGGGTCCTCCCAAAGTTACCTCTGTACCACATACTCTGGTATGCTGGAGGGTATGCTGGAGGTAACAACATAATTTCCATGGATCCTCGAAGCTCTTTGCTAGGAACAGAGCACAAAGACCAGATAGTTCAAATTATACTACAGGTGTTTTAGCCATCTGATAATTAATTAATTGGTTTTTGCCTACTAGACTGTTTAGTGTGTTTTGAACTGAAGGTAGTATTTCTGTTTCATTTGCTTTCTGCCCTTTAAGCTTTTACCATTTTTCTTCAGGGCTGTACATATCAATGCACACCTTGGTGGTGGCTGAAATGTACATTTAAGTGCACGCATATATCTGAGATGAATATTCTTAGTAAAAATGGGAAGGTGGAATGCTCTTTTATATTTCAAAACACATCTTCATTTTTTTATGTAGCATCATAGCAAAACAATAATAATCTCTATCCACTTAACACAGTACCAGTTGTAAACAATTTTCTCGCTGTCTTAAATTCTGCTGTGTAGCAGTAGTACAGGAAGCTTTGATTAGCCCTCCCTTGATACATGGAAATTCGTTGATCAGGAAATTAAGATCCAATGAGTTTAAGGCCACTCGCAGAGCTGAGATTTACTGTAGGTCCCCTTGGCTCTGAAGTCCGCTCGTCTCATCACAGACTTTCCTATCTGCATATGCACTGGACTTCCTGCCTTCAGGTGAAAGGCAGCGTGTGGTCAGTGCCATAGCAGCCACACTGGACTAAGCAAATTATTGGCCTTGAACTTTATTTTTAAAACAAGGAGCTGAGTGGACAGTTTCTGAAGCCTTTCCAGCTATAAAATTCCTTACCTAGCTGCTTTCATAGAATTTTTGTCTGTCACCTGTGTAAAATCAATAGAACCAATGTAAAACTTTAAAGAACGTATCTCCCCTTTTTATCCTTTGAACCGTGGTCCTCCAGTGACAGACTTACCAAAGCCGCCTTTTATATTTCAGACAGATTACGAGGGACAAGCCAAGAAGCTCCTGGAACTGATAGAAAGCACAGATGTGATCATCGTTGCTGGAGGAGATGGGACACTGCAGGAGGTAGGCTGCCTCCCCCACCCTACCCCCCACCCCCTACCCTTCACCCCCACCCTACCCCCCACCCCCAACCCCCCTGTCCGGAACAGGAACATTTTTAAGGGGAGAAAAATGGACATTAGGTTCTAGGACAATGGCAACAATAGTTAAGGAAATTGTTTATGATTGTTGTGGTTTTAGGGCTGTTGCTTTCAAGTTAATATAGCCCTAAGCTTTTCTTACCTTGTTTTTGGTAAGCAAAAAGAAGGACTTACATATAATCAAAATTGTTTAATAAAATTAAATAAAAGAAGCAAGGCTCTATAATTTGAGCACTTAGGATGTAGTGGAGATCTTGAGTTCTAGTTAATCTTGGGCTACAAAGCAAGATTAGACCTCAAATCTCAAATACTGAATAAGACAGGAGGCAGAATGGGTACGGATGGGCTGGGCTTGTTATGTTGTGTATCCTGTTATACAGATACGTTCTCATCAAATGACAGATTCTCTCAAGAAAACGCCTCTCTGCCCATTCACATCATTCTCATTGTGTAGCGTTAACTCTTAAAACTGCATCTGTAGAAGAGGCGCTGCTTGCTCCGATGTGTGAGTCTCCTTTTCCGTTGCTGTTTTAGAGGACAAGCTCATGTGTGCTGCGCATACACCTCATCTTTGTTCTCTTTGATGTTAACGTCATTGACCCTTAGTGAGACTCTACACCTGTGAGAATGGCTATGATCCAGAACACAGCAGTACCAAATGCTGATGAGGGTGGGCAGTTGCCATTCATCGATGGTGGGGATGCAGAACCATTTAGTCACTCTTCCTATAAAGTAACCAAGTCCAGGATAAGCAAAATGGAAAATGAATGGTTTCACAGAAAACTGAACATACACGCTCTTACATGTAGTCCGTGACTGTGCTCATTGGAAGCTATCCGAGGAGTTCACAGCTATTGTGCATACAAAAGGAATCTGTACATGGACGTTTACAGTGTCTTTATTTACAACTGACAAAACTTGGAAGGAAGGAAGGTTTCCTTTAATAGGTCAGTAGAATTGCACACTCGAGTAATAGATTATTTAGCGTGAAAAAACAAAAATAGAATTGTCCAGTCATGACAAGACTTGGAGGGAGCACAGTGATCACTACTAAGGAAAAGAAACCATGAGATGACTATAGTTTACAGTTCAGCTGCTTGACTTGTGGGCCAAGCACAAGGAGGGTGTAAAAAGGTGAAAGGCGAGAGACTGTCTGAAACCGGGATAAGAGGAGGGTGAGAAGGGCGGGGCTCAGGGCGGGGCTCAGGGCGGGGCTCAGCGCGGGGAAGATACTTGGGAGATGAGACGGCTGACCGACCCGCGTCATCCCATGTTGTGAAACCCTGTAAGTGTACAGCTCCGTGAGCACCAATCTAAGCACCAGTCTCGATGGCGATTGTAATGTAGGCTCATCAGTTTTACACCTGTGCATTACCTTTGACCTCTCTTTGGTGGCTTCCTCAGTGTGAGGGACCAGAGATGAACAGCAGAAACCTTCCTATGTCTGTCTTGGCATTTATATGCGCCTTAGTGAGCTTGTTTTTAAAAAGTTCCTGCCAATGATCTTGTAATTGTTTTTATAGCCTGTTAATGAGATGTGGAGAGTTCTGATTGCCTGCTTAATACTGAAACCCAGCCAGGTAGGACAAGACAGGGGATGACAAAATGTTTTTAAAGAAAGACAGTAAATTGTACATTTGCTGTATCTGTAGTCATGAAAGTAGGCATTGGCTAGAGAAAGGGTTAGTTAGGCACGCCGAGCAGGCTGAGGCAGGAGGGTTGCTCGGCACCTAATGAGACCCTGCCCCAAAAATGAATACAGTAAACAAGTGAGTAATGCTGGCTGCTTAGCCCCTTTGTCCTCACTGCCCTCAAGAAGAAACACTTGAGTACAGATTTCTGAATACAGTATGGCATTTTCCTCTGCGCACCTCAAAGGGTACAATTGCAAAGAGCTCACATTCCTATAGAATCTACAACATGTAAGCATTAGTAAAGTTATGTTTTGTGGACCTTCAAACATAGTTCTACTAACGCTGTGTGGAATTTTTATAATCTGTCTTAGTTTTTATTATTACTTCTAGGTTAAGAGTAAAATCCAATTTAGCCCCGATCATAGTTGAGAAAATTATGTGTTTTTAGGTTCTAGTACATCATTTAACATAGTTTCTAGAAGAAAACAAGTAAGGCTGTAGTACATGAAATTTGAATCTAATTTTGTTATGATAAAGAAAATGCATGTTGTTTATAATAATTTTGTTATATTCATAGGTTGTTACTGGATTACTTCGAAGAACAGATGAGGTGAGTCTGTAACAAAATTTAAAGTTTGACTTAATCATTCTTTTGTCTTTTGCTCCTCATGATGCATAATGCCTATTTATATGTATGTGTGTATATGTAGATATACATATATGTAGATATATATATATACATATATATATATACACATATATACATATATATATATATATGCTGTACTGAGGATTGAACCCAGGGCTTTGGGCATGCTGGGTGAGTCCTATATCACTGAGCTATATCTCCAGCCCTTTCCTTATTTAGTTTTTCTTTTGATACATGGTTCTGACAAATTGCCCAGTCTGGCCTTGAACTTGTGACTCTCCTGCCTTGGTCTCTGGAGTCGCTGGGATTCCAGGCACAGAGCACCGTGCTCAACTCTTGAGTTATAGTTTCAGTTCAGTGCAGTTGTGCCAGGATTAGATGTTTGAACAGATGATGCAGTACTGGTTCCTCGTCACAGGTCACTCGTATGGAGCCGCGGTGGACTGACTTCCTCTGTTGGTAATCTAGAGAACCCAGGACCTTTAAACAACAGTTTGTGCTATACAGCAGTTTCCTGTAGAATCTTTTCTTCTAGGAATTCTTTCCCAAATTAATAGTGATCTGTTCATATATGAGGAACTAGATAGCACTGAAGTGAATGGACTAGGCTTACTTAGTTAAGGGTGAGCACAAGGACCTGTGTTTGAGCCCAAGACCCATATAAAATCAGCTAGGTGTAGTGGGTGGTGCAGCTGCTAATCCGAGTGCCGGCTGGCCATGTGTAAGACCTTGTCTAAGAACAATGTGGGCAGTGCCTAGGGCACAGATGGGAAGTCACCCCGGGCCCCTTTGTGCACCCTTAACGCCGCCCCTCCTCACACCTGTGCACAGACAGCTAGCTGTGCCTGTGTACACGTGAATGATCTAGACATGTAAATGTCTACCTCTTTAGAGCTTAGAAATTAAATACGAAGTAAGTTTCTAAAGAAGGGGTGAGATATTTCTACGGTTTTAGAATGCAGGAAAACAATACGATCACTGTGTGTTATTTAGTATATAAGTATGTAGTAAGAAAAAAATTAATGTAGTTGGGAAAGAGTCATACCAACCTAGCATAATGATCTCCTCAAAGAGGAGGCAGGAGACCAGAATCTCAAAGGCCTTTATCTGTCTCTGCCTATTTATTTACTTTAGTTTTGAGATCAATTTATTTCTTAAAACATCAAAGGCAAAATGGTAAATGTTCTGGGTTGTGGGCTTATGGGGTTTTGTAACATCTCATTCGTTTTCCTGCCATAGTTGAAAATATTTAAGTAAAAACAGGAGGTTGTATTCAAAATAGTCTCTAAGAATCTTCAAATAACTATTGTATGTGTAGCATTTAAATCACCTAGTTTGTCATTAACTGACAGCTATTTGACTTACTCTCTCTGCTTTGTTTGTATTTGATGCAGCATATAAAACACTGTCACCTGTCGTTGGTCATTGTAGAGACTGTAGATATTCTAGTTGAATTTTATCTGCCTATTTCCTATCTGAGCTTCGAATGGCTCTCACACTGGTGTCATCTTAACCCAGACTCATACAAACAATTGCAGCCACTGAGTACCCAAATCCATCTTCTAAATTCCACGTCTCCGTGTTTTCATGGGCTGTTTGTTTTAGAAACTCCCTCACCTGGAGTATTCGCCTAGGGATGGGGATTGGAGTTGAGAAGGAAGACACGGGCCAGTAGCTTTGTCATAGAGACGCATGTGCCTCTGTTAACCCTAACTCTCTGACTGTAACAGTGCACCTTTCTTCTTTTTGTTCTACCAGGCCACCTTCAGTAAGATTCCAATTGGATTCATCCCGCTGGGACAGACCAGTAGTTTGAGTCACACACTCTTTGCCGAAAGTGGAAACAAAGTCCAGTAGGTTGTCAATATGGGATGCTAACGTTTGTGGGGGACTAGCGCCTGCGACTGAAAACCACATGCATGGTGTGCACATTTTGGTAACTTGAAAGAAACTTGAAGTTATTGAGAGAGATTAAGAGAGAGCATCCAGTCTTTCAGAGAATTGGGGTGTTTCCCAGTTGAGCTGTGGTGCCTTCCTAATCTAAATAGTAAGTCCTAACGTCAGGGTGGAGGCAAGCACTCTCTGTCTGTCATTGGAGCTGATTGGAGATGGCATCTCTGACCTGCCAGTTTTTCTGCTTTTACGGTGTAAGCTGCGGGCAGATTTGCACTGATGGCCTCCTTTAGGTACACAGGATGTCAAATGGCAAGTCTCTTGTGGTAACTGAACCGCTGGCCTCCATTGGCCTCCTTACCTTGCAGCTGTAAGCCAGTAGAAGAACTCAGTGCAGTCCCACCCTTCCGTGACTGCCTGGATTGCTAGGTATTACAGACATAGCAGATAGAGAAGGGCCAAGTCCTGACATCTAAACTGCCGAGAGTCTAACAGTGTCTTTGGGAGTCAGGCAGATTATTGTTACAATAGTTCTTTTTTCTTGAAAGCTTTAGGGAACAAAGCCCAAATCCTTCGAAAGGTGAGGCCTGGCTTTCACAGCAGTTAATAACACAGTCTTGAGCAAATGGTTTACACCACATGCAATGTAAGGTTTGTGACAGGAGATGTCAGGAAGTAAATATTTGCTGAATTAGTTAAAATTTCTCAGAATGTTTTCCTTGTTACAACCTTCTAAGTCAATAGTAATGATACTCAAGTGACTTTTACTTGGTTTAAATATTTTTTTTTTCCTGCTTTACAGTTTTTTCTAATACGGGTTCTTATATTATAGATTGACTTTCCCTGTTAAAAATTTGAGGGCCAACAAATATATCTTTTAATAATTCTGTGATGCTCATAAAAGCCTAGCTGCGCGTAGGAATGCCCCGGTATGCATATAAATATTTATCAGACCCTCATTCTAATATTTCTCATGTCACACCATTACAGGACCCTGCAGCCACTCTCCTAGCAAACAGGGGAAGCCTTTTAATGGGTCATACTTTCTGTTCACAGGTTAGAGTCTTTGAGGGGCGGTAGATAATGACGAATGAATGACTCAGGCATTTTTGGTGATCTGATGTAAACCCTGTCCAGTTTAAGACTTGACTGCTTTAGTGAGCATGCCTTCTTTGTATCAGGATTATTGAACTGCCGTAGCCAGCATTTCCAATAGCATGTCAGTGGTCAGAGATGGGCTATTTTCCTTGCAGAAAACATTGGCTGTCCAAAAGCTAATTTACTCTCCCATGTGGACACCCCCAGGATCTGAGGTAGCATTCTGCTTTTCAGGAGCAGCTTTTTTCCACATTCTTAAACTACTATTGTTGCTGCTGCTATTTATAATTTAAAGATTAATAAAGTCTAATGTATAAGCATGCTCCAGGGCCCTTAGGTAATCAGTAACTGCCCTGGGCTCAGAATTTTTCAGACTTTTTAACATGGCTGCTGCCTGGGGCTGTTTAATAAGAGCAAGCTTTGCCTTTGCCCTGCTGTCAAGATCTCTTGTCGCATAATTATTAAAGAGGAAAAACATCTTTTTTCTTGGAATGTGGACTGTTGCAGGTAAATAATCCTAAGTGCCAGGCTACAGTGCTTCTCTGTTAGAACTTGGAGCTGTTGTTAGAGAATGATAAATTTGAGTTTGCATTTTAGTTGTCTTCTGCCAAGCAATTTGGCGAAGCAATTTAATGCAAAAAGCCTTTTTGAATTGCAATAGTTTGGGATGTTTTTTAGGTCAGTCTCTCAAAGGCACTTCTTTCTGAGTCTCTCCCCGTGTGCCAGGTGCTCTTCAGATTACGTGGGTACAATGCACACATCTGTGGTACTTCCTTCGTACATAGCCCATACACACTCGGAACAAACGGGCCTAGACTTAGGGGCAGACTTCTTGCTTCCTTCAAGTAGAAGGAATCTCATTTGAGAGACTTTGCTGTCCACTGCCCAGGCAGCATTTACATTGAAAGGAGAACAAGGGGTTCATAGATGATAAATACTGGTGTTTTGCCTGCACATAGAATCCGGGTGCCAAGGAGGCCAGGGGAAGTCACTGGCGGCTGTACACTCATGTGAACGCCAGGGATCGAACCACGGCTCTTTGCAAGAGCAGCAAGTACTTTTAACTACTAAACCATCTCTCCAACTCACTATGGCTTACATTACTTAAAAGGAAGAAAAGCATTCTAAGACAACATAAGCATGCCTATCAAGCAGCCTTGATAGGAACTAATGTGGCTGTTTCTTATCAAATTCAACATAAATGTGTCATACTTTTAGGCATTTACGACACATTTATAAGAGAAATGCAGAAACACAGATCCATACAGCAACCTAAACCTTATTTGTAGACTCTGTTGCTAGTTGCTACAAAGCAGGCATAATGCTAGTGTCAGCCAACTCATGATTCGGCGGCTGTACAAATCATGGTGCATCCATACAACAGAGTGCTATTTAACCATAGAAAGAAACCATCCACCATGTTGATATACTGAGTAGCGTGAATATCCTCAACCCCGTGCTTTTTCTTCTGTTATATGACAGTTGTACAAAATATTAAACTGGACACGCTAATTGCCGGGAACCGGTGATGGTGTTGGGAGTGGGCTGCAGATTGAGGAGGGGCTTGGAGAGATGCTGGGAACGGGTATTTTGGTGATGTGTTGGTTACATGAATACATTTGACAAAGCATGGAAAGGCATGTCTACGAGGACAGGCTGTACTGTGTGTGGGTTCCGACTTAGTAACCCTGATTCTAAGTGGAAGGGTAAACGGAAAGCTGGCGGGCCGAGTGCCTGCCCAGCACCAAGGTGGAAACCACACCACACACTCTTGTAGGACCGGAACAGCAGGGGAGGGCAGCAGCCAAGCAGCTGCCCTGTGGCTGAAGAGACGGTGGGAACAGGGTCGTGACTTACCGAGGCAGGGACGCGTGGATGGAAGCTGCTGTGGCCGTGAGTGCTGACGCAGGAAACCGTGCGGCTGTGTGTGGTCAGCCCTTTGGCTCCCAGCCTTACGGGTTTCCTATAAGACGTGTGAGACGTGCCTCCAGGCATTTGTGAAGATCCCACGCTAAGCACTAGAAAAGGGGAAAGGAAGGATTTTTAATACTCTGATGCAGTCTTTCCCTTGCAAGGTCTGCACCAGGAGAAACTATTTATTCAGAACCCAAGCTTCTGGGGTAGTACTGGATCTCAACAGGGATTGCTGGACTCTAGCTGGCTCTGGCCTTCCCCATGGGAGGAGGGAAGTAACCTAACTCCAACCTACTCTTCAGGCCTTCCTTAACTAATAATGGGGTCGAAAAGAGTTGAAGATTAAAGTGGAAAGTGAACAGTCTCAGGTCTGTGCAGATTATACAGTATACTTCTAAATAACACATATGTCGAGGGAAGAAGTCGAGGAATTTTAAAATACTTTGAACTAAGTAAAAGCGACTTCCACCTGGTAGTGGCAGTAAAAAGAGACTTAAAGCGCTTGGTGTACGCATTAGAACAGGAGGGCACACTGTGTGAGTCTGCAGCCAGCCATGCCTCTGAAGTCAGGAGGGAGGGGAAACAAGCCAGAGCCACTGTAGCGCAAGGCAAGAAGCATTTAAATCCAGGGTAAACAAGGGAAAAGGAATAATAACAACTCAATGAAACTGAAAACAGAAGTCAGTGGAAACGTTGGTTCTTAGAAATAGGTCAGCAAATCTCTAGCCAGGAAAAATAAAAACTAGAAAGAATGCAAATGGTTAATTTTAGTGACGAAGGAGAAGATGCCACTGGAGAGCCTATGGACATGAAGAAGGTTATGAAGGAAACAGGCGACTCCAGGCCCATAAGTTGGTAACCTTGCAACAACTCATCCAAAGATGCTTTGGCACAGCTCATGCAAGAAGTGATAACTGACAAGTGGGTTAACAAACTGGCGCGTGCAAACAGTGGAATCTCACTCCACGGTAAAAAGAGCCGAAGCCACAGAAAAAAGAAACTTGGATGCATATTACAAGTAAAGGGAAACAGTCTGGAAAGGCTGCACGATGTGGCTCCAACTGTTGGAGATCTGGACTAGGTACAATTGTGACAGTAAGGGGAGAGTTGTTAGGGCTTGGAGTGGTACAGAGGTTTGTGTGGTGGTGAAACTACTTTGTATAAACCACTGTAGTGGGTACATGTAATTGACGTTTATCTCAGCCCATTCAGACTGAAACGGTGATCAAAACTGGGTTATGAGGAGCGACAGTAATAAATCAATGTAAGTCTTCAGTGTGACAGATGAGCCAGCCAGTTTTGGGGGTGGAGAGGATAAGATAATGAAACAGCTGTGTTTGTAGGAGGAGGGGAAGGGTTATATAGGGAATCTCTGGACTTGCCTTTAAATATTACTACGAACCTGACCTAACACACACACACAGTGTTTGAAAATAAGTATAGTCCTTTGAAATTGCAATAACTTTACTTGATTAAGCAAGCATTAGAGATGTATTCTAGTTTCTCCTGAGTTTTGTTGACATCAGCATGCACTTCTGTGGTGACTATCTCTCACCATTAATTATAATTACATGGTAATCCTATTAATTTTCTGTAAGTCTCTGAGGAGTTTGAAGACCATCTATTTAAATATATTTGTTATGACTTGAAAATCCAACTCACATGACTAAGTTTGACTACTATAGATGACTATTGACCTTTACTTTTAATTGTATATTTTTAAATGAGCTGTATAAACACAGTACCTGAAATGAGTAGAAATATACATATGTTATAACAAAATTAACTTTAAATTTGTATCAGTATACCAAAATCTATACCTGTAAAATATTTAAGACTAGTAGTTGCTTTTTTGGTTTAAAGGTAGATTCAGTGATCTACCTTTAATCCTATTTCTGTACCCCCTTTTTCTTTCCAGAAAGATATCCTTGAATCTGTTCTCCTTTGTTCAGCTTTTTTTTTTTTTTTTTTTTTTTTTTTTGGTGACTATTATCAATAACAACTTGTAACCAACTCCCATAACCAATAACCTTTTGTTTGTTTGTTTGTTTGTTTGAAGTGTGGGCATAGCTGTAGACTGCTTTCTGTTGATTTGGGGGACCCCATCATTCTTATCTCCTAGCCCTGCCTTTCTTCCTGCCTCTGCTGGCTATTGGTCAAACAGTATTTTATTCATCAACCAATAAGAGAAACATATACACAGAAGAACCTCCTCCATCATCTCCTCTTTTCTGTCTAAGTAAAAAGGAGAGTTTTAACTTTAACAGAGTGGAATTATAAATAATGAAACAGTTATCAAGTAAGAACTACAGTTACAATATTTAGTCCATTAACATTTGGCAAAATTCAGAGAAAGTATTCTATCCTATCTTTATGAGTCTAAAGTCTTTTATGTAACTTATCGTTTTATCACAGCTAAGGAAAACCATGATGATAATTTTCTGCCTTCAACTCCATCAGAGGCCTCAGAAGGATAATAATGTAAACTCTTGCTGCCAGCAGCTGCTCGTACACACCATTCAACTGTTTGGTAGCAGGGCCTCTTAAAGAGCCATGTGGTTTTTTGCTGCTTATGCTGAGTCAGGAGTCAGGAGCCGCAAGCCTCTGCTTGTCTCTAGCAAACAGCCCACCCGAGAAATTGCTGCTGCCAAGAAGCTGTCCTTGTCTCTGTTCTTTGGTTTTTTTAGAATCCCCCCACCCCAATCAAAGACCACATTTTCCAATAATAGGCACAATGGAGTGATTCAGTAAATGTCAACAGATGATCACTCTTACGTAAGCTCCAAATCTTTCTCTGGGAGTCTCTCAGAGCATTGCACTGTTCTGAATTGGTAACTCTGCACACGACCAGCTTTCCCTGACTGCTTTGAGTGTGAGCGTGGATGTGTATGTACACGTGGGCGTGCTGTGCACTCAAGGAGGTGGCGTTTACCTTGCACACAGCTTTCTCTGCATTTTTTCCCTGTTTAGACATATCACAGACGCCACGCTTGCCATCGTGAAAGGAGAGACGGTTCCACTTGACGTCTTGCAGATCAAGGTAAAAAATCTTTCCTTCATATTTCGGAAAAGTTATCAAAGTAATAAGCACACATCAAAGAGAATCAAGTTTAAACAGCTCACATGAGATTATGATGAACAGAGCATTCTTTTTCTCTTCCTATCTCCAGAAAAGCACTATTATGCATGATTCTTTTACCACTAATTATGTGTATGTGATCCCACTTTAAATACCATTGTAGTTGGTGCTGAAGGTGTAGATAAATGATAGAATGTGTGTTTACCTGTATGGGGTTTAACCCTTAGGACCTCACCGAAAAAGGTAATTGTGATTTTAAAAAAAAAAAAAAGTCATGATATATAATTTACAGCGTGGCCGGTCTAAGTCTGCACTTTGGTGGTGTTAACTGTATGGAGTCATCTTTTCACACATTAGCTTTGAATTACCTGTTGGCCTCTTTATTACATACAAAAATTCCTCTGTATCACTCCCTAATATAATGATAAATAGTTTTAATTCCTCACTTACTGCAAGAAATCCATCTGTGGTTGTTTTGAGCAATAGAAGGGCCCCCGAGGCCAGACTTTTTGCTGTATACCTATAGGCTAACCCTCTGTATTAGCACAAGGGTGAAGGGTTCAAGGTCATCCTCCACTACCCAGCAACTAGAGCTAACCTGTACCACATGAATCCCTGCTTTAAAAAAAAAAAAAAAAAAAAAAAAAAAAAGACACATAAAGTACTTGGGATGAGTGTTCTGTACCTGTTTGAATGGTGGCTGTACCTTTATCCGTGCTTAGCCACAAGTGAACTACTTCATAGGACCTGCCAGAGCCGCTGGTCTTTGTCATTCAGTTATCTCGGAATCTTAGCTTTGGTGCGGGCTTAAGAATAGTTAGGATTGTATAGATTTTCTGTAGTTTCCTGCATCTTAGGATTCTACATTTTTCTATTGAGCTGTGTAACATTCTCTTATTTGTAGATTTGTAGAGAATAATTTGATTTAGAAATATGTTGGCTAGTTGTGCCAATGAAAGGGCATAGAAGCAATTACACCTCACAGCATACCGGGCGGGCACTCAGCCTCTGGGCTGTAATTACTACTCTCTTAGAAACACAAACAAAAATCTACCAGGACTCAATGAGTAAGTGTCAGATAAAAAAATCACTCAGAAATTGATAGGGACATCACAGAAAGATGTTAAGAGCCAACCTACTGGTGTGTGGATATCAAAATTATTAACTGTGATAGATTATAATGTCCTACATAAAAATGGGGAGTTCCTGAGGTCCAGGTAATATTACAGAAGAATTGCCATGTTGTAAGTATAGAAGGAGTGATAGTATGTTAATGTTTATTTTTTTAATCATTTTGATATTTGATTTTATGTCAAGATCATCAGCAGAAACTGAACGCAATGGATAGAAATCCATTGGGAAGCAAATCTACAAGCATTCCTAAAATTATTTACTTAGTCATTAAAAGGGGCAAACCTATATTCGAAGCAGAGAAATCTAGCATATGTAGAAAACTGGCCGTATCTGCCTTCTGAGAATGATGCCATGTCCATGTAGTTTCCTGCCCCAAATGTCAGATAATCTGAATCTAATCGAGAGGTAATCAGAAAAATCCAAACTCTGGGTCATTCTAAACATTTATACTGCCTGTCTCAAAAATATCAGTTAGAAAATCCAAAGAAAGTAAGTGGTCTGTTCAAGATGAAAAACAATATAAAACAGAAAACAAACAAACAAACAAAAAATCCCAAATCTGGTAAAGAATCCTGGATTTCAAGATTGAAAACCAATTATACATGTACTGTATTTTAGAGACTGCATCTCAGCATTAGATTCTCCAAGAGTGTTGCATTTCCTCCCATGTAAGTCTTTGCTCTCAGGAGGTCACTGCTGACATATTCTGGGGTGGTGTCTATAACTGCAAACCTAACACCACAGAACATACACAGGGCCTGGGGAAAGCATTAGAGGGACAGCTCAGAACCTGCTGGAAATACAGCTCTAGGGAATCTGATGCCCTCTTCTGGCCATTGTGGGCACTGCATGTATGTGGTGCATAGACAAGCTTGTGAATATACACATAAATTAAACAAAATAAAAACAGATAGATATAAAGAGAACACTTTATCAATGCTGACTTTAGATGAGAGGTATAAATAGTGTTCATTGTACTATTTACAGTTTTGCCTATATATATGTGCATGTATGCATGCATGCATGCATATATTATAAGAAATGGTTCATTAGCAGTTTCTAATATTTGGTCAGTATCCTTTTAGAAGCCTAGAACATTATCAAGATAGAAATATTTAGTCAAGAGTTAAGCAAGTATTCTTTCTTCATCTCACTTAGAAAACAAAACTGAAAAAAGCAAATGGCCCAGAAGGCAGAGCTGTGGAGTTAAAATCATCTTGCCGTAGTGAACCCTGTGTGTGTTTGCTTACATCCAGCCTTAACATGTGCCAGTTCCACTGTGGATGAGCGTTTAGCACTCACTCACTCTATGGTTTTGTAAGACGTTTAAGGATCTATACACTGTGCCACGACCCCAACTTTAACCCTGGAATTTGATGTTACACTGGTTGAGCATCCCTGATCTGAAGATCAAAATGCTACAGGCTCCAAAATTTGGAAAGCACATTTTTGATTTGGCATTAAGAATTTTAAACCAATAGTTTTTGAAAATATCTAAAATCTGAGAAACTCCAAAACAGGGAGCATTTGTGGCCTTATAACCTCTCAGGCAAGGGACACCTAACCCATATGTAGTTTACTAGTACATATTTATAACTGGTGAACTGTTGTGGAGTATTAGTTTAAGATGCGTTACATTGGTTCATGCTGTGGAAATCTGTGTAATGATGAAAGGGGTGTTGCATTCTTTCATGTTGCATTTGTTTAACTCTGTAAAGCTGTGTTACTTTGCCTGCTAAAACAGCTGATGGTCTAATAAAGAGCTGAACGGCCAATAGCCAGGCAGGAGAGGGGCAGGCGGGGCTGCCTGACAGAGTAAATAGGAGGAGAAATCTAGGCTAGAGAGAAGAGGGAGGGAAGCAAGAAAAAGAGGCGAGGAGGATGCCAGCGGCCAGACCCCCTGACACCCAGCCAGCCATGGAATAGGAAGGAAGAAACACAGACTAAAGAAAGGTAGAAAACTCAGGAGCAAAGCACAGTTACAGAGAAGCAGGAAGAGCTGGCTAGAAAAGAGTCAAGCAAAGCCAGGCATTCATGGGGGCTGGGGGTGGATTTAAAAAAAAATCAGCAACAGTAACTTTAAAGTTTACAGCCAGGTCTCCTTTAATTTTTCTTCATGCAGCAGTGTCTAGACTTTCCATCATGACCTCATTAATCATAATCTAAATTGCAATTGCTCTTCAGCATGTAATACAGCTAAGTTGTTTCCACAAAACAGAAGGACTATGATTAAAGGATAGCTAGTAGAGATTAGTATCTATAAAGACTTTGTTGTAAAATATGATTCTTACCAAAGGAGGCGAGTCAGGAGATCTTTTAAATAACTCGGTGATTTAGTATTTGTTATCTATGTATTTGATACATTGCAAAGTAAATCAAACTTAACTGGAAACTCTTGCTGTGCTCGTCCTTAAGTCTCTCTTGCCTCAACCCCCTTCCCTCATGCTCATTTTGTAAATTGATGTCAGATGTTTTTTTACAATCTCTGTATATTAATGACACAGCCCAGGGAGCAGAAAAATTTTAATCAATTCTAGAAAGTGTGGAGCAATAGCTTCTACCCTAGTTTCTGAGGAACCACTTTAGTTTAATTGATTTTTTTTCTTCCTTTTCTTATTTCTGAAAAATTGCTTTCAGAATGTGAAGAAAAATTTCTGTAGACAAAGTGTGATGCCATAAACTTTATAGGTAATGTTTGATGCCAGCCTTCCCCCCCCCTCCCTCCCTCCCTCCCTCCCTCCCACCCTCCCACAAGCACAACCTGCTAACATGAACTGAAGATTCTCCGGAAGTACAAGAAACCATGAATATAATAGTGTCATATTTAGCTTGTTCCTTGTGTGCTCACATGTCGCTGAGTGTTTAATCTGGTGAGGCAGTCAAGGTGTGTTTCTTCCTGTGATGTATTAGAAAGGACCACAGGAGGGAGGGAGGGAGGGAGAGAGGGAGGGAGGGAGGGAGGGAGGGAGGGAGGCAGGAAGCCATGTTGGCTCCATCTCCAAAACCGATCGAGAGGCCAGTGTCTCTCCTTCAGTCTCTCGTGGCCACCCTGGTGACTTTAATCTTACCACAGAGCTCTCTGGCTAGGACCTTGCCTCCCCATGGGCTGTTTTCAGCAACCAATGTGTGGTCACACGTTAGGGCATATCACTTCTCTGCTCAGAGCCCTAGGTAGTGCAGTGTGTGTTCCCTCAGTAAACGCATAGGCCATTCAGAAGCCTTTCATCTGGACTACACTGATTTCAGTCTCTGTTCACATGACACTTACCAACGTCTTCTCTCATCTCCTAGATCAACTAGTCATTGGTCCTCTTAGCAGTGTCTTTGAAATACTTACTTTGGCTCCACTGTGCTCTCATACTGTCTCCTGTTGGAGCCTGTGAGGAGGGTTAGCAGAAACTCCTCTTGCTTAACTGGCAGTGTTAAAGCCCCCTGTTGGTTGCTGATGACTTGCTGCTAGGTCCCTGATGGGCTCATACCTGAATTTCTTTTTGTATACCTCCCCATGACATTGCATTTTGAGGTTGGAAATCTGTTTTGGCTCCATTTCTTTGAACTCGTCCTCTAGTTCTCAGGCTAAGTACTCTCCACAGCCTCTTCATACTTGAGTGCCTTGGTCCCTGGCCCGCAACTCTCAGATGAAGTACTCTCGGCTCGGCACCTAGAGACAAACATGTCCTTGCCACGCCAGTCAGCCGGTTGTCTCATGGGCTCCATCCGCTCCTCTCTGTTGGCTCTGCTCTCTCTCTAGTCCATTCTCCTCTTCGCTTGTTTGACTACACAGTAGGAAAGCCAGTCTCCTGTGTGAGCAGACCCACCAAAGGGGTGACACAGCGCTCCTGGTGTGGTTCCCCGTGCTTGGCTTTCACACAGTGGAATGATGCTGAGGCTGGGAGTGAAGGAGCCCTTGATCCCATGAGAACAAGGTGCAAGGAGCTTTCTTAGGGCCAGCAACTTCAGTGCCAAAGATCCTTAATTTGAGCTTATTATTGCATAGGGCAGAGGATTGGTGGTATGGGAGAATCCAAGTTGGTCCCTCTGTCTTTCAGCAAACTCTGTGGAGTTGTGTACAGTACTGTACCTCCTCCTAGAATGTGGGACCTTCTATCTATCAGTTTTCAGCTACTGGAATTTGGCTACTCAGAATTACAGCGAATATGTTCCCTTGCCAGCAGATTCATGAGAACTAATACAAGTGTGTATCAGTCAAGCTCTCTTACCATGTGTTCATAGGGTAAACTGCTTTAATATTTGAACTTACATATAAAATGTTTGGGCTGGTGAGAAATAGGCCAAGAACATTTTCTAGATACTTATGAATTTACTATATTTACAAAGCTAAATCGATTGTATTTAACTTGCAGGGCGAAAAGGATCTACCTGTATTTGCAATGACTGGCCTCCGATGGGGATCCTTCAGGGATGCTGGCGTCAACGTTAGCAAGTAAAGGATTACTGTTGTGATATGTGACGATTCATTCTTTAAAAGTTTTATTCCATCGAGTAGTAAGTCCTTTGGGCCAGGAAGCCGTATTAGGTGTTGATAATGAAATAGGAGCACCCAGGTAAGAGTATGGCGTCTATGGGCCGAAAGGACAGGAAGGTTCCAGACAGAGAAGTGCCTGCCTGTTTCCACACAGGAGGAACTGGCATTGCTTATCATACAGCAGCATGCTTAGCTAGCTTTCTTTGAGGAAGTCTGCTCAGAGCAGATTGCTTTCCAAAGTGATCGCCAGTTCCGCACTAGCACAGAGGCTGTCTCAGGAGAGCGCATCTACCTGCTCCGTATTTTGGCTGGCTTTTCTGAACGATGTTTCAGAGTCTGCAGTGGTCACGTGATACCTTGGCTAGGCCTGAGTGCTGAGTCACTTCTGGTGTGAAATGAGAAACATCCCCTTGTTGGCCATAGGAAGACTAAAAGCATAGTGTTCAAATTTACTACTGCAATGTGCTGATTCTTTAGAAGTCGCCAGAATCAGGGTGCTTTTCTAGTTGGCAAACTGGGAGAAGGAATAAAGTATAAAGAGCTTCAGAAGAAGGCCCTCATTACTGCCATCACAATACTGACCTGGACGGTAACTGAGAAGGGCTGCCCTTTGGCTGTGCCAGCGTCCCTAATGGCCAGTGCTGTGTGGGGTTTTAAGCCTTGTCCTTTCCTCCTCTCATCTGTCCAGGTTCAGTTCACTCCCAGCCGCTCTCCGCTCCGTGCCTGTACTTTACTGTTGTGGGTTCTGTTGCACAGCGTGGCTACTCTTTTGTCTTGACTTTTCTTACCAATAACTAGTGATCAGTTTATACCAGGACATATGTAGTCACTTATTATTTACTATTATGTAAGGGCCCAAAGATAGAGGTTCTACACTGTTCTCCTCTATGTCTATACTCTATATGTGGTTCTCTATGTAATAGGAGCTAAACAAAGGCCTTATGACGTAAATCAAGTAGCATGTTGGTATTAGAGCTAATCTAAAGAATGGCACCTTCCTCCCTAGAGCTTTTATGTGCTTAGCAATATGCAATGTATTTTTACTCCGAGACTTAACATTTGGCATATTAAAGCTATCTAACATGAGTAATGTGAATTATACTGGTTTATATGAATGTGTGCACTTTGTCTGAGAAGGGCCCTGGGATACAGGATCCAGTCCTGAATCTTCTAACACAGCATCTATAATACTCTCTCTATGTGGCCTTATTGCTCTCTCCGTGTAGCCCTTTTGACCATATGCTCAACTTATTTTATGGGTGAAAGTCTGTATTATAATGACTTATAAATTTAGGGGTCAGAGACTTAGGCTAGATACATCACTTATTAACTACCATTAGATGGTACAATTCTACCACCTAATTGCATATTGTCACAGAGGTACAGTCCTGATGAATTGTCTTAGATGATTGACACCTAGCACATTGGTAGCTCTTTTCATCTTTTTGTCTTGGTTTTTCTTAGGTACTGGTATCTTGGTCCACTAAAAATCAAAGCAGCCCACTTTTTCAGCACTCTTCAGGTAAATGCAATTTACAATGTAGAGTTTGAAGGATGTTAATTTTATGTTTCTCTGTGATGCACATATTTGAGACATTTATTCCTCCTCACAGAACCATATCATATGTTCAACACCAAAATGGAGTCACGTGATTTATATAATTTCAGAAAACATTCCTGTTTTGATATACAAGCGCCCCCTGGTGTCTATCTAACCACCTATCTGTCCTCACTCTCTCATGTCTGTCTTAGATACTTGCCTTTGCTACTCACTCAACCAGTCTTGCCAGACAAACCTTGAACAGAATGAGTAAAATGTCCAGATCGTTAATATGTGTGTCTATATTAGTATCTGGTAATGAGCTGAAAGGTTGTAATGATTCTAAATTACATGGGAGTATGCATATTATGAGTAGGGTTTAAACTGTGTTGGTTAAGTAAGTGTGGTGCTTACTGTATTGGGTAGTGCTGATAAAGAACACTTCCCTCATCACAGAGTCCTACCGGGTAGTGCCATACATAAAACACATTGAACAGTAGTAAGGTCTGAGGTTGTAGCAGGGCAGCATGGCAGGGCATTTGCCTAGCATGTACAAAGCCCCAGGTACGGAAAAGAGGCTCAACAGTTTCATATTGATGGAAAAGCAAATAGGAAAGCCCCTCAGTAGACAACTACACTGTGTTCATCTTTCATGCAGACTATAGTCTAGTTGGCTAATCTCAAAATCGGTGTGAGAAACTAGGCTCCAATGTTAATATTTAGAGTCATCTGGTGGTGGTGGTGATGGATGGGGTGTGTGCACTTTACAAAAAAAAAAAAAAATTAAATGTAAAAAACTAAAGTCAGTAAAATTCTTGGAATAAACACACAATACTTTTAAAAAATCAAATAGAAAAGGCACACTGATTAGTAAAAAGTGTTGTTGTTAAGGAGAATAATTTGCCTGGTGAAGTAGTAACACCTAGGCAGAAATAGGAGCCGTATGTTTAAATGATGGCACTCTGGGTCCTACAGTCGCCCTCCACTCAGTGTCCTTATTGCTGTGATTGGCGCACAGAGCACACAGTGCAGAGCTCCCCAGAAGTGCAGCAGCATGGCGGCCGGACAGACGGCAGGAGGGAGGGACAGATGGGCGAGGAGACAGAGGAGGGCCTCCTAAACTTGACTGAGGACCACAAAGCCTTCTGGGGAGCTGGCATTTATGCTGAATTTGGGACTCTACAGAACTGGATGCAGGCTTTGGGGATGGAGAGGCGAGCTGTGTGAAGTCACTGTTAGTGCAGTAGAGTTTCTGCAATGGAACTGCAAGGGTAGGGTTGACCTGGGCAGGTACCGTACACAGATCTGCACTGTGGAAAAATTGGCCTTAACATGCAGGTGGGCATGAGTAACTACAGGCAAAGACAGTAGATAGAAGACTGACCGCTGTGGTGTGGACTGGGGTTGCTAATGGCAGATGGGTCAAAGATTGTAAGGTTTCTAGGCTGAGGGGCTAGACTTGTGTAACTTAGTCTTTTGTTTATTAATTATTATCGTTGATGACATTAGGGTAAGAACAATCTCAGTTTGGTATGTGGTTAGTATAGCATATCGGTGGTACAAAGGAGTATAGATACACTTGTGATCTATCAGGAACTCAGATAAATGTTTCCACTGCCATTCAAAGTGTGGGTTTGGGGAAGGTGCCATTAGGAACAGATGGGAGGGATAGCACTTAGGACTGTAAACGTTTAGAAAACTAAGGTGGAAAGTGACTGTACTAAGAAAAGCCGAAAGAGAGACCACATCTCAGCCCATAATGAGGAGAGGAGACGTACAGGGTTAGGAAGCCACCGCAGGGGTTTAAATAAGAGCAGGACTCCAAAGTAATGGGTTAGAGTATAACAAGAAAGCTAAGAAATAAATGGGAGCGGAAAAATGGAGACAGCTGGCACACGCCTTTAATCGCAGCACTCAGGGGACAGAGGCAGGTGAATCTCTGTGGGTTTGAGGCCAGCCTGTCTACAGAGCGAGGTCCAGGAGAGAGTAAAGGGGGGGATGTATGGTAATAGCAAGGGTAGATTGTTTCTTCTTCAGGAAACAGGAGGGCAATAGAGCGTTGGGTTTTCCATGAACACATTGTGTCTTTTATATATCCCAAAGCAGGAGAGGAGAATGGGGAGGGGAAAGAAAGGAAGAGACGACTGAGTTGGTTAAACCCATCCACAGAAGGATGGGGTCTGGTTACCCTTACACAGGGGAAGCCTCCCTTTTCCCCGATGGAAGTGACACCCGAAGGAATCAGGACTTTCTCCCTGACGGGCCTGATATGCTTTGGAATAATTGGTCTTCTGAAAATAAAGCAGGCGACTGGTGGTAAAGGCGGCACAGAGTAAATATCCATGTGTACTGTCGCAGAGCCCCAGGGCCTGAGGGTTGTGACGTCACAGATAGGCTCCTCGGTGCTTCCCCTCACCCAAGTAAATGTTAAGCCCTGATTTAAGGCTCTCCCTCCCTCCCGATACTACTAATAGATAAAAACGTATAAACATATCTAGTGTGAGAATGATAGGCTTTGAGGCATTGATGAGGCTGCATTTGAATCGAGTCTTGGCCAAAGCATCCTGTCCTCCACATGGAGTATGATACAGCAGTGAAGTAGGCATTTGAGGGAGGTTTTTGTGTGCCATTGATAAACCCAAGGTTGATTTCTGTTGTATGTTAGGGGAAGTAATAGAAACGATAGGTCACTGTATTCATGGTTTTAAGGTCAGGGTTTGAAGAGGAAAAGGAAGCTTTAAGACTTCATATTCCAAAGTAGAGAGGACTCTGCCTATTGGAGACACAATTAGCTTGTTAGGATTCTGACCTTTGCAGAGCAAAGCCCCAAGTTAGGAGTTTTATGAACATGCTGAAAACCACCTTCTTCTTCTTCTTCATCAACAGGAGTGGCCACAGACTCATCAGGCCTCTATCTCCTACACGGGACCTACGGAGAGACTGCCCAGTGAGCCTGAAGAGACCCCTCCCCGACCTTCGCTCTACAGGAGAATATTACGCAGGCTTGCTTCATTCTGGGCACAGCCACAGGATGGTGAGCAGCGTGGTGACTGTAGGTTACAAGCTCTGCCCAGATTCACAGTGCTGTGGAGCAGACACACAGAATCAGTTCTGGACACTTAACTACAGCATGAGCCGTTCCAGTTGAATTCAGACTTGGGGTGTTGTCTGGGCAAGCTTCAATGTCTTGTGAATCTCTGTCACTGACATTTATGCTGTGAGCTTGCTTTAGGCATAGGGCATCAGTGTTTATCCTTTTGTATAGGAAAGATGAAGTCCAGAGTTAGACGAAGGGCTGAGGAAGTCAGCAGCTCAGTAGTCTAAGGGTGTGTGTGTGTGTGTGTGTGTAATGTCAATAGAAGCACTAACCCATGTCTGATGGACTCCCACAGCCTTCTCCCGAGAGGTGAGCCCAGAGGTCTGGAAAGATGTACAACTGTCCACCATTGAACTGTCCATCACAACCCGAAACAGCCAACTTGACCTGATGGTAAGTGGCCTCGTTTTAAAAAAGAGAATTTGGTGTCTGGGAAAAACAACAGGTGCCTTTCTTGCACTAATTCAGTATTTATTTTTATGTTGTACCATGTGAGCTTGCCTTTGAGACATGGTAGTTGAGTGTGTTGGGGCACACTCTGAACAAGTATTGTGCACATGTTTGGGTGACCTTTGGAGGACTCAGGACAAAAGCTTTACAGGTGAAAAGCTAGAAAAAAGCTGAACTTTCACTTGCATTATTCTGTGACTATATTAATATTAAGTATACAGACTCAGATTCCCCAGGGGAAACACACAGACCTATTGCTGCACACATGTGGGGTTTGCTTGTTTTTGGTAAGACAGGGTCTTGCTATATAGTATAGGCTAGCCAAATTGTGACCTTCCTGCTTCAGCTTCCTGAATGGTGGAATTATAGGTCAGTGTGCCACGTGTAGGCCACCTATCAGATATAATTTTAATTTGGACTTAACTGGCACTGTTGGTAACACAACATTCTCCATTTTCCAAAAATGGCTTTGGAGCTGCAGTCTATCACAACTACCCCACCTTGTCAGATACACTGCAAGGGACACATTTGTGTCGGTATTACTGCTTTGTGCTGGATTCTGAAATGTGGCTGTTGGCTAATTACTATAATATATTCAGCTTTTATGAAAATCAGAGTAGTCTGTTCACTGTTGTCCTGGCCAATCGAGCTGTAGGGTAGTGGGGAACGTTAATCCCAACATTCATGTTTGGAGTACTGCTTTGTTTTCTACTTATACAGATAATTTGTATCTGAAGGAATTCCAGTTGAATTAATCAAAACTTTTTCTAAGCATGACCCTTATGTCAAATTTTATATTGATTCATTCATCTTCTGAATGGCAATTAGGGAGAATATTAGAATGTGGCAGACCAGCATTTATTAGCATTCCTTATCTCAAACTTCTTAAATCAATAATACTGTCTCTGTTCACTTCTTAAATAATGGCCCAATGGCTGAAAATAGAAAATGCACAAACGGAAACATTTGCTGCTGAATTTATTACGTGGGAGTCATTGTCCTAAGAATCTTACATAAATTACTTACATACTATCCTCAGATTGCACCATATGTGCCTGTGTGAGAATGTTTAACTGCATTCTGTACTTAACTGCATTCTGTACTAACGTTAAAGAAAAAAGTATTCAGCTGGGAGGTGGTGGCACACACCTTTAATCCTAGCAATCAGGAGGCAGAGGCAGGTGAATCTCTCTCTCTGTGAGTTCGAGGCCAGCCTGCCAGGACAGCCAGGACCATTTCACAAAGAAACTCTGTCTCGAAAAACCAAACCAAACCCCCCCCCCACACATACACACTTTCTCATATACAGATGCGTGTGTGTGTGTGTGTGTGTGTGTGTGTGTGTGTGTGTATATATATATATCTCATATACAGATGTATGTATCTAGTGTTGAATGCCCAAGAAATGCCAGCTGAAACAGTTACTTGGACTGCCATGTGCTACAGCACAGTAGCACTCAGGTGCTGTGCATGGGAAGGGAGTTCTCTCTTACCCTTGTAAAACTATAGGCTGTAATACTAGTTGATAATGTTGAGTGTCTAGAACCCATGCACACACATACACACCACCATGAGTGAGTTGATGAGATTGGAAAGTGCTGTGTTCAGAGGGACGTCTGAAAAGAAGACTCCTGTTACACGTCTCCTTTGGTAACAGTATCCCCAGCATTTGCTCGTGTCCTTTTCTCTGAGCATGTAATTTCAGCTCTACCTGTGCTGCTGCCGCCGAGGCTTTCATCTTTGCTGATTACGGAGGCGTGTGACACTGTACTTCTTACCACATTCCCCTTTTTCTCACCACTCTGCAAAGCAAATACAATAAGCTAATCATTAGATGATACTTCCATAGTATAAAACCCATCTTCAGTCAGAAATGTGATGTCTTTAACAGCAATACATGTTAAACAGACTGATAAATGAATATTGTGCTTTTATTTAAATATATTTTATTTATATTTAAATATATATTTATAAAATAAATATTTAAAGTAAATATAAAGTAACCTTTATATTTATTAATGTGGCAAAATGCTCACCATATATTGCTGAATGAAAAACTAACAAAATGATTTTTAGGAGGTGACTGGTTCCATTTTTAGTCAAAAAAGGAAAACTGCTACCTATAATTGAGCTTTGTGAATGAAGGTAAGGCTATAATTTTGTTTATTCATTCTAGTACCAGTTGTTGAAATGCTGCCCACCTCTTTCCCTGGAGCTGGACAGGTGGCTGTGAGCCACCCAATGTGGGTGCTGGGGACAGAACTCGGCTCCTCTGAAGAGCAGCAAGCACTGTCATCTCCTGAGCCCCATGATTTCTATAAATATTTTAGAATGTTTTATTAGATTCTCTAAGGTTGCACTGTACATATAGATCAGTTTGAGGAGAAATGGCATTTCTATAGTATTAATCCTTCTGGCATATCAGTGCTGTGTTTCTCTTCATCTACCGAGGTCTTCAGTTTCTCTCAATGAAGTTTTATGGTATTTGCCTATTGCTGTATATACTATCGTACCTTATTTTTGGTGCTCTTACCAATTATCTCTCAAAACTCCGTTTTCTAGCTGACTAAAGAAAAAGACATGCAATTGATTAGTGTGTGTGTGCACGTGTTGATGCTGAATCAGCGTCCTCATTAAATTCTCATGTCTGCCTATGGCCTCTTTAGATTTGCAGCAGACCTATAGCATCAACAGCAGACATTGCCACTTTTGATTCTCTGTCTCCCTTACTTCTCTGTGAGGGTTTCAGTGGTGCTGGACAGGCGCAATGCTTATGGGAGCCATTGCTTTGTTCTTGAATTTGATACAGTTTTTTGGCTACCTTTTACTAGCTAAGGAAGTTTCTAATAAAACTCTAGGTTTGCTAAGAGTTTTATTAACTTTAAATAGATAGATGTCTTAGGCATTAAATTCTATTAAGCATCTTTTCATCATCCAATTTAAGATTCTCATTAAAGCTGCCAATATGAGTTGATTTTTGAATGGATATGAAACTATGGGCCAAGATATGGAACAAGCATTAGCTTTACCTTTGGCCCTTAAACGCTGAACAAAATCTATGAAACAACTGTTAGACAACACTGGCAGGAAACAAGCAGCAACAGGGGTCCCAGAGCGAAGGCTCTCAGGCCAGCTGTGCCCTATGTCTGCCCCAGCCTCCGGCACGGCTTACCAGGATTTCAGGGTCTCCTCCGGGAAGACATCTTTGAGAATTCAAAGGCTGCCTTGAGGGCTGAGCCAGGGATCCACAGATGTCTGTAAACTCCATCCGTATTTCCACTGATACATACATAGAAGTATCTGAGTTGAAGAAAGAAATCACAAGAAACAGGCTCAGTCCTAGGAAATTTTAGTCACCTTACAGGACCAAGAGTATTCCTACCAGGTAAAGGTGCAAACTGCTGTCAGACCTGGGGTGTTGGTTCTTAAAAAGACATGTCCTCAGTAATGGGACAAAAGCAGTTTGATTCCAGGCTGGCGTTTCTTCTAGCAGAATCTGGAGCAGTGCTAGGCAACCTAACTGTGCCTCTGAAAAAGCTGAAGACAGCTGTCAGTAGAGGGTAACAACAGGCCCACCTGGCCAGCTGCCACAGTTTAAACAGTTGGAATCACACAGAATTTCAGTTTCTGTGGATTCTAGTGGAATGCAAACACACCAACACATTAATTACTGCATGTCTATTTTACATAGCACACAGCAGAATCTGGTGGCAACCATAGCCTTCTGAGAACTCTCTCTGGGCCTTGACAGTTGGTGTCTCCTGACTGGAGCATGGCTGTGCGCCTCCTCCCCGCCAGCTCCCAATGCCGCGACCCATCACTGGCCCTTAGCGCTGCCCTGGCATCCCCTGAACCTTTGATGGTACTGCTCACTTCTCAGTAATGTTCTTTACTGGCTCACTGCCCACCCTGCAGTTAGACAGCGGGCAGAGTGACCCCAGTACAAAAAGCCATAACATTACCCTCCTTGGAACCTTCCACGGCTCTCCATTTCACACAGCCTAAGAGACACGTTCCTTAAAGTGGTCTACAGAGCCCTACCCGACCAGATGGTCCCTGCCACTCATTCTGCTCCAGACATGGGGATTTCTTTGCTGTTCTCTGTATATTTCAGGGTTGCCCTGGCCTGAAGGCCTCTGCTAGCTTCTAACATACCTATTTCCTACTATTTTCAGAAATACACTGTTTTATTGTTCTGTCCCTCCCTGCACTCCCTGTAGGGAAGTATAGGTTCTTTGTGGATGCAACCCTTTGTGATAATGTTCAGTGGGTGGTTGAATGAAGTGTGAACGTGTCACAACATTGTGTTTGTAATCTAGTTGACGGCACCTTTGAAACTCAGGCTTGTGTGTGTTCTCCTGGCCCTGTGTGTTTTGAAATCCTCCAAGAAAGCCTCCAGAAGATCTGGGATTGCTTCATGAAGGCTAGGCTTGTGCTAGCCAATGACTAGTAGCAAACTGCAGAGGGACACAGACAGGATTGATGACTTCCCACAGCACAGCACAGCCCAGGGCTTTGTATGGATAGGGGAATAAATTAATAGGGTGCCGTTTGCTGCTCTGGGTGCCTGTCATGTTTGCATTTAGAGCATTTTAAAGAACACAGACACCTATGGGTGCCAGCTGCATTAGCTCAATTTCCAAAATCCTTGGTCTTTCTAGAGCAAAGAAGACTTTATGAATATTTGCATTGAACCCGATTCTGTCAGCAAAGGAGACTTCATAATCATGGGGTAAGTGCCTGCCTGCCTGTGGGGACAGAGCTTCGTGAGATAACCTGTCTGTGCAGAGTGAGCTGTCTTAAGATGGAGACCGGGCCATGTCTGTCTACTGCGAGCTGCTCTTTTTCGTAATGGAGTTGGCATGCCTGTGTACTTTTGCCTCCTCTGCTCATTTTGGGAGGAGAATGTTACGGTGTGCCTTTCAGTTGAAATGGAAGAATTCAGTGGTGCGGACCTAGCCACAGATCCTAGTTTCAGTCCAAGAACGTGACTGGCTCCTCACTGGCCTTGTCGGAGTCCTTTCCCATCTGTGAATCGGAAGGACATTATTACCATGTCTGCTTGCTGGCTCAAGGAGGCTTTTGTCATTGTCGTCGAGCACTTGCCACTGTCTTTTACTGTGCATTTCATTCACCTTGTCTTCTTCCTGTTCCCAGAGCATCAAGGACAGACTTGAAAGGACACTGGGGACCTGAACATTGCCCAGGCTTCCCCTTCTCTAAGCCAATAGACTCTTAGGTCCTGCCTTAGCTGGAACTTCATTGGCTGGGAGTTCTGTACACCCTCCAGACATCTTCCCCGTATCTAAGGAGCTGTGTGTTTCCATGCCGACCAAGTCATCTGCTCAGTGCCTTGCACTGTCCTGGTGCTCCCCCTGGAGCCCGTTTAGGGATTGGACATCGCAGCCGTCTCCATGCTGAGTCATTCATTATCTATGCCGGCGGAGGCAGCAGAGTGTCTTTCATTAGTCTGAGTTGTTGTCGCCTTTGATACAAATTCTTCAGATACTGAATGGCTCCTTGGAGCCTTTGACTTTTTTCTTGCTGTATAGTAAGGGAAGAAGGAAAAAGGCTTTCCTTTCTACAGTGTGCACAAATCACACAGTATCTTAAGTGATTCTGGCTACTGGTAGCAGCAGCCATATTCAAATCCCCTTTATAAACTGACACCCAAACAAAGAACCCCACTGTATCTGTGGAGTGAGGTGGCATCCCTATCAGCACGTTTCCTTTTCGTCCTTGAGGGAAGTAAATTGTGTAATTCATGTGAATATCTTAATGGAACATGGTAAAGCTGATGTTGAGACTGATAATTCCATGCATGAAGAAATTGCTGTTTCCAAATAACGATAGATAATAGACTTTTTTTTTTTTTTTTTTTTTTTTTTTTTTGAGACAGGGTCCCTTACGGCCTTTGACTCCCAGGTAGCGCAGGCTGGCCCTAAGCTTCTGCCTCCTAACTCTTTTTGTATTTACCGTAAGTAGCCCAATGGGGTACATATGCCTTGAGGTCAGGCATGTTTGTGCCTGGCTGCTTTACTCCAGGGCTGTAAGTAAAGGTAAATGTGCTAAGTGGGCTGTCCCATATGGAGTTTTATCAGCGAGTATAACACTGTCTATAGAGATTGAAGAATTATTTACCCAGGAGTCTCATGCTTTCCTGGAAGGATTTACTTACATCCTCATTTGTAAAGAGATTAGCAGCTGAAGAACAAGCCACTTAAAGAACTGAGAGAACGTCGCTTCAGCCAGCCAGTGTGCTCACCTGGCACACAGACCCTACCCCTGGTCGCCTTCGTCTGCCCTACTCTCCCTCACCAGGGGAGACCTGGGCTTCTCTGCACTTTGATGCAGTTGCCATCAAAGAGCCTGACTTTGCTTTTTCTTATACTAATAGAAGTAAGAAGATGAGAGACCCTAGCCTGCGAGCAGCTGGTACGGAGTGTCTCCAAGCCAGCCACTGCACGCTGCTACTTCCCGAGGTAAGGGGGCCCCAATCCCAGGCTCTAAGCCAAGTTTCTCCCTGGCTCTGTTACATGTTAGTTCCCTGATGATTTCAAGCATCTATAATATGGAAGGGCTCTTACCTTTTGATAAATACTTTAAAATTTTCCTTGCCCTGGGCGACTGTGTTAGATTGATCCCTCAGCAGGGACCGGTCCTCATCCACAGTGAGTCAGAGGAGCACTCAGAACCCTCCTCTCCCCAGGGAACCCAGGGCTCCTTCAGCATTGACAGCGAGGAGTATGAAGCCATGCCTGTGGAGGTGAAGCTGCTGCCCCGGAAACTGAAATTCTTCTGTGACCCACGGAAGAGAGCGCAGATGCTGCAGACGGCATCCCCGTGAGCCGCCAGATCGAGGCGCTTCGAGCCACCTGTGGGACCACAAGGGGACGGACGGTGGCTTCATCTGTCCCCAGAGTGTTGTCGCAGGATCCCAAGGGAATGTTCTTGGCAAGTACTCCTGCCCCTCCTCCTGTGGTGCTTCCTAGCACAAACACGGCAGCCAGCCAGCCAGCCGGTGACCAACATCCTGTTAACCCACGCCTTCCTTGTGTTGTGATAGTTGATCCCCCTACATAGTGGTTTCTCAGGCCGTCACTCCTGCACTCCATGAGCTCTCCCCGCAGTGGAGAATGGGCTGTGTAGACTCAGCTGCTTCCTGTTGCAGGCTCTGACTGTCCCAGGGCATCCCAGGGAAGCCGCTGCCTTCTGGGCTGCCATGGGTGCTGTTCCCCCACCCCCACATTGGCCGGTGTCAGTCTGGAAAGCAGATGTGAGGTTGTTCCCTTTCCAGCCCTGGCTAACGTCAAATGCTACTCAGACAAAGTAGTGCTTTTTCACTGTTAGCTTGTCCTGTGTGCGACTGAGGCCACCCAATCTGGCAGGCGGATCCCAGGTGCATCAACCAGACCTGGAGCACGTATTTTAAAAAGACTCCATAAACCTGCTTTTCCCAAGTGTATTATATATATATGTTTTTAAAAAATCACGAATTCATGTTGTGACATCTGTCATTTTCCACTTGGTGTGTAAATACTGTTGTTTAAAAATAAAGTGTTCCATCATTCTTTTAAACATATCCAGTGTAATTTAAATGCACCTCTCGTTTATTTATACAAATAAACTCGTGAAATAACTCTTCACTATTTGAAAAGTTTAAATTATGCTTTTTCGCCCCTGGATATATCGCTATAAGGGATTTTTTATCATAGTTTATTTTTATGCTTGGCATTTTTTATCATTTGCTTTTCCTTAGAAAAATTATAAATCTAATAAAACAGTTGTTTTATAGTGAGTTACCACTTAACAATTTTATTGTTTTATATACAAATAGTTATTTGAAGCAGTAACTAATTTTTTGGTAATTAAAAGTTATGTTATTAGAATGTTCTTGTTTCTAACTAGTTCATTTATCCAGTATATAAATATTATTTCCAGTGAGACAAGGGTATCCAGTATCAGTTATATCCCTTTTTCGTTTTTATTTTTTAGGAGCCCAGAAAGTAGATGGGCATAAGAATTGTAATTACATCATTTTAAGAATTATAATATTTTTAATTTTTTTGAAATTAGTGGGAAGTTAAAGTTAATAATGATCTTTTAACTAATAACCTGATTAGATCTTCCTCTAATCTGTTGCAAGCTGAGAACTGATAACACTTGACTTCCTATAAAGAGTTCCGGCCAGGTCATTAGTTACATTTTTTTTTTTTTAATTTTATGTGCATTAGTGTTTTGCCTGCACGTGTATCTGTGTGAGGATCAGATCTTAGGTTACAGTTGTGAGCTGCCATGTGGGTGCTGGGAACTGGACCAGGTCCTAAGCACTGAAGGTTCTCCGGGCCCAGTACCTTTCTCTGTTAATACCAGCATGACCATTTCCTTTGCTCCTGCCCAGGAGTCCTTGAACTCTACAAGGCTGCACTGTATGAAATTGGTTTGTCATTGGGAAAGGGAAAGTACCACCCTTAGCAGCAGGAACTGCAGGAAGAAAAATTCAAATGTATATATATATCCACCCACACGTCCCGCTGGGGTAAAATCAATGCATGAACAGAGTAGACAAAACCTAGAAAATAGCCCGTAACTGAAGACCACAAAAAATAAGGCTTGTCTGTTGCTTTCTGTATCTTCTGGTGGAGGTAAATGTTCTGCTTTAACAATAGATAAGTCTGAAGATGAGCATAAGTCACTTACCCTGTGCCAGCTGCGGAGGTCAAGGGGCTGCCGTGTCCTTTCGTAACAGCAGTGAAGGTTCGAATCCAGCATTTGTTCTGAAAACGCTGTATAAAGCTGCAGCTCTGCCGATAATGCCACATGGTTAGGAAAGGATACTGGACCCAGATTAAGGATTTTACACATGTGACTGGCATGGTGTTGCACACCTTTAATCCCAGCACTCAGGTAGCAGAGGCAGGAGAATCTCTTGAGTTCAAGACAAGCCTGGTCTACAGTGAGTTCTGGGACAGCCAAGGCTGTTAACACAGGGAAACCCTCTTTTGAGGGGTGTGGGGCCGAATTTTACTCCCTAGCTTCCTCTAAGGACTTGAGTTTCATTGTCTACTGCTTTGTTCTCTGGACACCCATCATATGCACACACACATTTAACAACAGGCATACAGATGCTCAGCTCTACAAAGGGGATCATGGGCCCTTATACAAGTAACTGACATTTTAAGGACATTATTATGAGAATAATTATATGAACATTAGAAAGCACGCTATTACTTAGAAAACAGAAACCTAGCTATGTGACCAGTGTTACAATTCACTCTATACTGGTTTAAAATAACTCCCTCAAAGGTAAAACCGAAATGCCCCGTAAAACTCTGATAGAGAGTTCTGAAACGGACAGCTTCTCTAGAGTCTAGAAGTTTCCTGTGGGGACTGAGGGCGCACAGTCCTGGCTCTTTGACTTTAGTTTCCATTACCTGGAGGGTGCTTATCCAAGCACAGTCTCAGAAAAGACTGGTGGCAGCTGCCCTTGTCTGTCCTCGTCCCTGTAAGTAAAAGCAGCATTTAGCACTGTTCTTCCCACAGGCTGGGCCACCCTCATCCCTGCCTACCAAAAAGCACTTGGTAAAAGATCACAGCAAACGGGCTCAAATTAAAATGTGAACTTTAATTGTAAAAACTGGGGTTGTTTTTTTTTTTTTTTGTTTTGTTTTGTAAATATAGTTATTATCAACTTCTGCACATAACTTGGTTCAGATATATACAGATATGATAAACACAGGTGTTACTTGTACCACGGGAAGAATCAACTGAAGAAACATTCACACTTAGCCTCAGGGTTAAGCCCAGCTTTCTCCAGATCTGTAAACACACGACTGAAGACATGGGTCTGCAGCGGTACCCAGAGCAAAACTTACCAATCATCCTTCTGACTCCGTCATACGAGGTAAAGGCTTGGAACAAAAATAGATTCGGGTTCTCTTATTGCTATAACTCTTAGGCTGGGGTTGTTACTCAAAATAGGTTTTTACATTTAAGGCAACAGGGGACACTTAGGTCTTTAAAGGAAAAGAAAAGCAACTAGGAAAACAGACTTCCTCGGTTACAACTATTTCTTTTTCAGGAAAGGGTTACATTCCAGGCTTATACAAAAGTTTACCCAGCACGCGTTGAACAAATAAAGGAAGCTGTGCTTGTTTGCCTCTGCCCCATCCCAGAAGCCACCCCTGCTGGCACTTCAGGGGCCCGGAACCCCCCATTTCTGATGGCTGATGTGGACACAGCCAACTCAGAACTCATTTTCCTAACTTACATGTCTTTGCTTACTTTACCCAGATACAATGCCAATTAAATATATTTGCTCTGTATGGGCTTTTCACATTGAAGTTCCATCTATGCACAATTTATAAAACCCTGTTCTGCCCCCCGTATCGTTAGGAAGCAAAGTAAACTCACCGTTAGACTGGGTGGGCAGGCGCCTGCTGCAAACATAAATAAACCCTCTGCTATAACTTTTCAGAATTTAAGTCAACATGGTTCTAAGAGCCAGGGCCATGTTGAAATCCTAGAATAAAGTCTACGAAGATGAAAGCAGAGTTTTATCTATCCCATCTTCATTCTCTAGATAGCACCAGAAAATCCCTGTTCCTTTTCTAAATTTACATCACCCAACTTCCAGCCGCTACAGTGAATTAAAGTGCCAGTTAGAAAACCCTGCCCCATTCCCACCCTCCCCCTTGGCCAAGAGGGAGCAGTCACTGGAAGACTGTTTTTACCCCTTCTGTCCGGGGGCTTCACCCACGGCTGAGACCCATCCCATCCTTCCCAGGCCAACAGTGCTGCTGGAAAAATGCACCAATCTGTGCTCATACTTCAATGCAGCTACTATCAAAATACAGAGCTGCCCTTTCCTTCTTAAGATTGTAACTTCTCAGTACTCAAAACTCACCACTGACATAAAAATAGACTTCCGCTTCTCATAGGGAAAACATTCCCTTAATCCAGCCTCTCCCCTACAACGGTCAGTACTCCGGTAGCTCCTGGGAACAGAGGGGTATTAGCAATAAAGTGGAATAGTCAAAACCCAGGGCTATAAAGGGGCCCTCAGCTCCTCACCCTCCCCTACTTGAATCCAAAAAGGTTTTCATCGGGTGAGAAGCAATGAGCTCATAGGACTCAGGGTCCTCCCCACCCTGTGGGAGCCATAAGAGCACTGGACAGAGAGCTCTCAGGATCAGCTGGGAGCCCGATGGGAGGAGCAGCCCCTAGAGGGCCTGCTGGTCTTCTACACATGTCGGTTTTCAAACTCTTCTCATGGTAAGGCAAGGTCTCTGTGAAGAGCAGTACCCTTCAGCTCTATCCATCCACACCCTGCAACCCTTCTGTAGCTCTGCAAGGACCATCGCACCGGACCTGGAGGACGCACCTCAGTCCACTCTGCTTGTGCAGTTTTAGGAAAAAGACCGTTCCTGAGTACCTGCATCTCTAGGAGGCTAGCGCTTGCCACCAGAAGGCTAATTTGCTACCGCCCTTTAAAAGTCTCCAGAAATCCTAGCGGAAGGCTGAGTTCCGTTTTACCTTCTCACTGCACGGGCTTTCAGTCCCTCGAGACAAAGTTCATTCCCCTCGCCCCCACAAGGAACACAGCGATTAGCTATGATTTAATTTACCTTTATCTTCTACCTAAAATATGTTAGATAATTATGTATGTGGACCTTCCTGGGAGGCATTTGGCACTACTGTCTGAATGTCACTCAGACGGGAACATGGGTTTCCAGCAAGTAAGTTCCGGTTCAAGTTCCTATCCTATTTTGTCACAGCAATGAAGACAGCTTTGCTCCCACAGCCCGGGGGGGGGGGGGCGAGGGATACCTCCTGTCACGTTGCACTCCTAACTAGCAGGACCGGATGGTCCCCAGGTAGGAGGCTGGCGCTGGCCTGGATCGGCGCCCAGCATAACAGAGGCTTCATAGTTAAAGTCAAAGCTAATAACACCAAGTAATGACTTGGCCCTCCCTCCTTTGAAGACTGGTAGGAGATAAGCTCTACTATTTTTTTACTCTGGAGAAACAGTCCAGAGCCGATCGATAGCTAAATATTACCTACCAATCAATAGCTAATTAAATATTACCATCTGCTAACAAAATGGACAACGTCCACTTTAAGAGGCTTTTGTTACACTTAGTATCTTATGCGTAGCATGGGTATCCACAAACGCAAAACCCCAACTTCAGGCCCCCAGAGGATTGCTGCCACTTGGAATTTCTTCTAACTCAAAAATGCCTGAGTAGCTAGCAATGGAAGGCCGCTTCCAGGTTGGCACGTGGTTCCCAGCACGGTACACGCTGGGGCCAGTGCTCCCAGAGGGCTCTGCCACCTGAGGCGGGATCTGAGGGCCACCAGCACAGTGGCAAGACCCACGTCTGAGTTTTTAACCCTGCTCCCCAGTGGCCAGTGGTGATTAAAAATGCCTGACTCGGCTGACAGTCAGACCTAGAAAGTTCTGAAGGATGTGAACCAACTTCCTTCCAAATCAAACCAGATGGTTCTTCAGAGAGGATTTCGTGAATGGCAACGTAACAGATCCTGTGGCTCCCAGCTTCTGCCATCGCTGTTAAGGGGTTTCCTGTA